TTCTCCCATATACTGGCATTCACAATACAACACTGATTTGCTGCCATGTAAGCAGTGCAAGCTCCCAGCTCTGAAGTATTAACAGCAGCACTACCAACACCCCACTGGTGAGGAAATCAGCACATGGCTGTTCAAAGGCTGACATGAGCAAACCCTGTCCCCCTTTAACACAACAGCTTCTCAAATAGCAGTTTCAGACAAGACTTTCTCAGCAAGTTCATGCACAAAGTGGAATCTCTCAAGGACTGAATTGTTGAAGATTCTGAAAACACAGTCTACAGAGAACAGTGTAAAACAAGAAGACCAGCTTTGGGGAACTCAGGGATACAGGTAACTCATCATCCTACTCTGGAAACTACAGGCACCAGAACTGAAGCAGAAAATACTGAAACTCCTCCCCCAGTGTCTGACTGGCAACACGTGGGGAATATATGGATGTCCCAGCTAGCTACAAGGTCAGAAAAAATGAGGGCAGGGAAAACCAGAAAGATAAATGCTATATCCATTTATTTACAGCATTTGAAGGCTCAAGGTGTCCAGCTGCTGGATGTAACTAAAAGTGGCTACTGCAGGTGAGTGAGGATATTTAGGGAGTGAAGCAAACTGAAGGGCACTGGATCTTTAGCCAGATGTTTGCTTGGCTCAGGACTGTAGGTGCAACTTGTTTAAACTGTAGTCATTAATAAAGATGTTCAGGAAGTGACTTGAAGAGGTCAAGAGAGCTACTAAATGAAGCAGTAGCACTAATACCACTAAAAGGATAAATGCTGGCTTTCCTTACACCGGCTGTTATGAGTCACACGCTTCTTGTTCTTGTTACTTTTGTACTAATGACAGCTTTTTTTCTTACTACAACCACTGCATACTTCAAATCATTGAAGAATTCAGATTGGAAGGCATCCCAGGAAGTTATCTAGTTTAGTCTCCTGCTCCAAGCAAAATTAACACTTTGAGTGAATACTTAAAAAATAATTCTAACAAGAAAAACTAACCTAAAATATAGTAAAGACCATACAAGGAAACTGTGATCAATTTTACCAAGAATTCTGTGAATATTCAAGAACCGTGACAAAAATTGAACCACAAGAATGCAGATTTACACTGCATTTTCAGAAATGTTTTGCTTCTTGCATACCCAAGATCAAAAAAAAAAGTTAGATTACAGAAGTCTTATTAATCAAGGGGTTGGTGTTCACTGTACCCTCCGAACCATGCCTTGATACAGACATGAATAAAAAAGCCACCCAAATATAATTACATCTGACATACAACTACAAAATTAGTAAAACACAGCACAAAAATAAGTCAGAGATGCTAAAGAAGAGTGAAGTTGCAAGGGCCAGTTGTGACTAAGAATGTTTAGAAGCCTTAACACAACCACACCTGGCCTTAATTGAGTTGCTGGTCCAGCAGCTGCTACCTACAGAAAGTTCCCCTGTCCACGACATCCTTCCAGTCCCATGTCCAGTGACTGTGTCACAGCCACACCTCGTGCAGACAGAAAACAGAGGAGTCTCCATTTCACATTTCCACAGAATCCAACAGAGAGAGATTTGACACAAATGAGTTTGACTTGGACACAATTGATAAAAGCAAGTCCTCACAGCTACAACATTTGGAACATATTGGCTTTAATATGCTGCTTAGGTTCAAAAATGTAAATAACATCCTTTTATATATAATCAAATGGTAATTTAATTCCATACTAATTCCCAAACTATCTGCAAGCAAAAATTATATTGATGGTAAAGCCAGCTCTTCTCCCTAATATACAATTTCCAATCAAAAGAAAGCATGCATAAACCAGAAGTTTTAAGGTAAAGTACTCAGAATGCAGGTCTCAGGAGTTTCCCAATTTTAGAAAGTTAACATCTTGTTCCCTAAATGGCTTCCAAGGATGTTATTTCTGTGCTCTAAACATAAGGGACAGGAATTTTATTCAAATTACTAGAAACATGAAGTTAGTGTGCATAAAAGGAAAAAACACCATTACACACCACAGCCACACAATGGAATCAGTGCTGTGGAATTTTTTTATATGCCATGGCGCTACCACACATTTATCCTGACCCACAATGGCCTTTGAGTTACTGAGGAATTATGACTTGAATGAAACCTCACCAAGAGAAAGTTCCAAGAAGAAAAGCATTATTAGAGTTTAACTTTAAGCCACTGAAGTTAAACTGACACCCAGTTTTTTAGATTTTTTCCTAACAATCAAGATTAATTTAGATTTTTCCCAGTACAAACCATGTACTGAAGAGTGAGTGTCACAGAACACCTATGGGGAAAAAAGCAAACTGGGTTGCTGAAAAGTAACCTATTCAGCATCATTGTCTAATCACATGTTGTTCTGACTTATTTCCAGAGCAAGCTCCACCTCGTTCTTCCAGCCAGGAAAGTAGTTGTCACCTTATACAAACATCTGCAAGGAGAAGACTGTCAATTACTTTCTGTACCCAAGTGCATCAGACACGAAAAAGTACACAACAAGTACAGTCTTCCAGTTAAGAAAGAAAGTTAGTTTTTTATAACTGCACATTTTTGTCTGCCTAAATTTAGGAATATCAAAGTTACTTTTAGAGAAACTCAAAATCCTACACCTTAAAGAAGGTACAGCATCAAGGTGAATTCAAACCAGGTAGATCATGGCACTATGTAGGAAATGTACTCAGCAACTAAGATGCAAAGAAAAGCCTTCCTGATCACTCCAGATGGCCAGGCAGCTTTCAGTAAAGTCATCTCTAGCTTCTGGAAAGACAAAGCTCATCACAGGCCTCAGAAGTAGCATGAGTGGAACAAAGGACAGTGTGATGAAATAAATCTAATGAGCAGGTGAGGAAATGCAGTTTAAATCCTACAAAAACCCCCTAACTATAGGAAGCCTCAGAAGAGACCTTACAAAAGTAGCCAGGAGACAAAAACCCACAAAGTTATACTAAAAACATTCAAAACACCAAGAAAGTTTTCAATCACACTACTGATTACATCGTAAAAAAAAAAACTTGGATTCAGGTTGCAATATCTGGAAAACACTGGGATGGATTTTGAAGATTAGTCAAGGGTGCATCATGTGTCCATCACAACCTCAAGGTACCCAGTCTGCCCTTACACCTGTGAACTTAAACATGTATATTTATTCTAAATGGAATCCAAGGGTCTGCCCGTGGCTTCTTGGAAGTATATTTTAATGCACTTATATTTTGCCTGCATAGCACATGAGCTACAACTTGTGATAAAAATCAGGAGTGCTGAGCAGCACCAGCGAACACATAATCTAACATTTGCTCTACCATCAGAAACAGGTTATAATATTCTGCGACAAAGATTTTAAACCTTCATATGTGAAAGCTATAGTTTTTAGTTGTTAACACCTGATAACTTCAGATACTAGGGAGAGCAAGACTAATTAATGTATCAAAGTAGAACACAATAAATAATAAGCCACAGCCAACAGGAAATAGCACAAATACAATGTAACAAGTAGTCTCTTTAGTGAAATTAAATTACTAGATAAATATCTAGAACACTAGCCTGCTTCATATTATACCAACAGGAATAATTGAAAAAAATTAGAGAAAAAAATAGGAAGGCTTTAAACTCCTTAGCTGCAGGAGTGACATTAAAATGCTACCACAAAGTTAACCAGCATGTCTGATATTTGGAAGGACCTTCAGTTTGGAGCTGGAAATAAAAAAGTAGCTCTCCTTTCATTTCCCATATGCAAAGTAAATCTAGTATAAACATTGGTTGCGTACACAAAGATCCTTTGAAATTAAAAGCAGGGTAAATTTCAAGTTATTCCATTCACTGAAGCCAGCTGGACATAACTCCCTTCCCTGCTAATCCTTTATCAGCATTACGTTGGAAAAAAATAACTACTTGATATAATCCTCAAGAAGACATTTAAGACACATCCGAGCCACTGGTGGCCGAGGCAGTGCTGTTCTCCCCAGCAACACCAAATTTATGACCACCAAAACCTTCGACAACTCCTGTCGTGCTTTGGGAAGGTTCCCCCTCATCATGGGTGACCCTTTGTGAGCAAAGGTACCAGAGAAACGCACCGGGGACCCGCACGCAGCCAGAGCACCCCAATCAGCACCCCCATTCCTGGGCACGACCCCCGCGCCCGGCCCGGCCCCGCAGAGCCCCCGCCACCTGCAGACCCCGCCGGACCCCCCCGGGATCGGGGGTTCCCTCACCCGCTGCCCCCAGCGCTGCTCCCCGGCTCCTCACGGCCCGGCCCAGCCCCTCAGCGCGGAGCCCCCCGGCCGTGCCCCTCCCGCTGCCGAGACCCTCCTGCGCTGGGGCCCCGCTGCCGCCCCCCGGTGCCCCCGGTCTCCCCCGGCCCGGCCCGGCGCGGCCCTTCACCGGCCCCGCGGGCCCGGCGCGCTCCCAACATGGCCCCGGCCCCGCGGGTACCGTGTGGCGGCGGCGGCGGGAGGCCGGGCGGGGGCGAGGGCGGCGGCAGGCCGGGCGCGGGGCCGCCCCGCAGGAAGGACGGCACGAACTCGGCGGCGTGGACGTTGGGCACGAAGGGCTTGGCGTTGACGTTCAGCTGCCGGCTGAAGGCCGCCCCGAGCAGCTCCTGCTGCGCCTCGGCCTCCGCGGCCGGCGGGGCGCAGCCCGGGCCGGCGCCGCTGCCCGTCTCGATGTCCGCCTGGTCCCAGCAGTCGGGGGCCGAGTCACTGCTGCTGCCGCTGCCGCTGCCGTTCGCCTCCATTTTGTGGCGGCCCCACAAGGCTCCGCGCCCCGAAGCGTCTCCCGGGTGAGGGGGGAGCCGGCGGTGGCACCGACTCAGCACTCGCTCCGCCGATTCCGCGTGTGCTCCGCCGCCCCGACGCGAGCGCAGCGTGGCCACCCGCGGCTGCCGTACCCGCTCCCGGCAGCCTCCCCGGCCGCCATCGCCGTAGTTTTTATCTCCCCGGGGTCTCGCCCCGCTGCACGGCCGAGGCGCGGCGCCAGAACTACAACTCCCATCAGGCAACGCGCGAGCCCATTCGTCCCGCCTCCCCGGGACAGACGGGAAATTGAGTTGCCTGCGTTCTCTGTGCTCGGAGGGACTACAATTCCCGTCATGCTTCGCGCGCGCCGTGCGTCGCTGCCGGCCCCGCCCCCCCGCAGGAGGGCACGGACCGGGAGTGGCGCGAACGCGTGAGGGGGACGGGACCGCCCGGCCCGCGGGGACCGCCCTGGTGAACTTCCATCCGTGTAGAACCGCGCCGCGCTCGTCCTGGACAGCACAGGTGCAGAGTGACAGACACTGACAGCACCTGCGCTGCGCCAGGAAGGCGCCCAGATGAAAGCTCCCGCACGTGCTCCTGCGGGATGCCACAGGCAACGCTGCTGTACCTGCCCAGCCAAAAGTTGGCAGGATGCGTAGAGTCCCAATTTTGCTAATTCAGCACACTTTGACTTGGTTATTATCATTTAAGAAACGATCCAGTTAAGCCAGATTCAGCAGGACTTGTCAAATACTGAGGCCCTTGACTGGTGTGACTATTAGAAGTTATTAAAAAGAACCCAACCTCGACAAACCTGAAATTATTGCTTGAAGGTAGGTGTGTTTGGAAGAAACAGTGAGGGACAGAGAGGAAAAAAGCAGAATTTGGTTGCGACTGTGGCAGCATTTCATCTTGTCAGGTTCAGTGTGAGTGTTTATAAGTAGACAGAGCAAGTCCTTGGGAGTTTCTTGGAGTGCTGACGTGCAAGGACTGAGTCATCTGCAGCAGTATTTATATTAGAACTCTGTAGGACAGATTACAGAGTTGTTTTGAAACCAGATGGGCTTAGAACTACAATATAAAGGTCTCCATTTGGGACAGAATCCGGTGCAGTTTTGATTGGAGAACACCAAGTCTCCTGAAGGGGCATTTAGGTGGCATAATCCTGACACAAGGGCCAGAGGGTTTCTGGCTGCACACCAGCAGCAACGTGTACACCCTTGGCAAGCAAAAAGTTCTACATATGTTGGTAGAAATGTGGGCTTCCAGCTGATCATATCTAGGGAAAACACCACTGTACAGGGCAGCCCTTATAAAAATTATAAGAAAAATATCCCCACTAACAGCAAAAAAATTAATTTTGGAAGAAAAAGTGTATTTCACATGAGAGACTATACAATTCTGCTATGTTGTTGAAGTCTTTTCTTCAAGCAGCACCAAGAGTTTGTCTTCACCAGAGCTGAAAGAATGAGTTTTAAAGACCTTGTGAAAGCCACTTTCTAGTGGTTCTCTGGTGCCGAGCTCCTTGCCAGTTTTAATACACAGATTGCCACAGTTTCTATTGTTCAAATTGAGTATAATTAAGCGAGAGTCTCACCTGTGTTACTGTTGTAATATTTAGAATTTTGTTAAACTGCAAGTAAGTTTCTCATCTGTGTGTGGCAATCATGTTTCTGTTTAAAAAACAAAGTAATATAAAAAAGTAATATACAATGAATTGTGGTGGTTTTTTTTTTTTAATACTAACCTTTGCTTGTTAGGTGACATTTATAAACTAGTAGGTGTCTGATATATTTCATTTAGTATGGAAACAAGGTAACAGCATTTTGAGCAATGGAGCTCGTGGGTCACTAGTGTTGAATAACAGACAAAACTCCAGTGGAAAGCAAGCATCGTGCATTCTGCTGACCCACTGACTTGTTATTTGCTGTCACTATGAGCATTTAACAGCTCAGGTTTAATGACTGCAGCACTGCATTGCAAGCTTGTGTTTTATTTGAGCCCTGACACAGCCTTTCCTACAGTCAGGAAAGGCTGAACTGGAGGCAGGTGCTGTATTTTCAGAGCAATTAAGACTTACCTTAAGGTTACCAGCACAGACAAGACATAGAAAAAACTTAGTATTGGTTGTGTTACCCAACCTTTCTTTCTTCCTGGACAGGTACTTATTCCCTAGGTACTTGCTAGGATATAAACAATTAGTCCACAGAATTTCAGAAGATGCCAGATGTCCTTCAGAGTGTACAAACCTGTTTTGCAGGCTGCTGCACACAGGAATTGTGTAAACTTAAACACTAAATTTTTAACAGGGCTAGTAGTTTGTTTTTCCACTTAGGAACAGCTGGTACTCAAAGCAAAACCTAAGTGGAGTCATGATAATCTTACTGGCAAAATATCTACTGGAGTGTAAATGGTCCCGCTCTTGAGCTTTTAAAGCACTATAAAAGCTTTTCTTGTTTAAATCTCTTTTGCATTAAAATGCTTAGAATAAATATACCAGCTCTTCATTTAATAATTACTAAAAAGCTTTTTTTTTTTTATTGAGAACCATGCATATAAATCCACCCTCACATCATGACTGATTTAAATTATCAATGCACTGCTTAGAGAAGGAGAGTCTGGCCCACCTCAGGGTTAAGATGTGGGTACTGGGGTGCAGAGAAACTGTCCCCCACATTGTCACAGTTTCACCATCCTTGTGCTGCTGTGTTAGACCCTTTGCTGAGTCAGTGTAGCTCGTTAAATTTAGCTACAGAAAAATCCACTTTCTTTTTCCTCCTGGGCTACTGAGATGAATCAACTAAGAGGCATTTGACAAATGCCAGAGCTGGCATAAAGTAAGAATGTGGAACAGGACCTCCTTTGGTGAGAGCAAGCTACTCACATCACAAACTATCTCAAGGGAGCTTCACCAGTACTTTGCAGCTTCACCAGTACTTTGCCACCAGTCCTGTGGCAGTGAAATGAAGGACCTCATCCTTAGGATATTAGGAATAGTGGTCTGTGCTTTAGTAGTACCTTCCCTCCAGGATTCTCACAAGCACTTTACACCCTGGCAGGTACACCTGTGCAATACCAGTGCTTTATTCAGGTGAACTGAAGCATAGGAGAAAGATATATTTCACTAGAAGGCTTCAAACAGGTTAACAGCTTCAAACAGTCCCCTGCTCACTACCTACAGGTGACTTATCAAACTCCATAAACCAGCAGCAGACTTTAAAGGGAAGGAGAGTAGTTTTATGGTGCTGGGTTATGAGTGAATTGACTCAGTTTGCCTTGACATCAGGAAAAAAAACCCTTTTGGCTGGGATTGGGAGGAGTGGGAAAGGAATACAACTTCCCTTTCTGGTATGGCAGGAAGCTGAAATCCAGCTGATGCACTGTGAGCCATGCCCTGAAATTTAAAGTGATTCAAATATGTTGTTACTCACAGTATCACAGTAGTTACTCACTTAAATGAGTAGCCTGATATTTGGAATTGCTTTGAAGTCAGAATGAGCCTTTAAAAACAAAGCCAAAAGAACGTGTTATTTACCTGGGAGGAAGAAAAGACAGGAGGTAAGAAGGAAATTATTAAAAGTTTGACTAGGTGCCCAGAGATGATAAATTAATATTCTTAAAATTTGGCAAATTCTGTGAAGATGCAGCTGAGAACTAGAGAGCAGAAAACACAACGATGTTTCAGCCTGATGGCTTTGTCAAGAGCCAGATCTGTTCTAAGCTTTGCTGGGTTCCTGTAAGTGTAAGTGAACCATAAAGAGGCTTTTATATTTACACAAGGGTAATCCAAACTAAGGTATCTTCCCCTGGAAATATCTTTTCACTGATTTGTTTGTTCTAACGCTGCTATTTAACAAGTGCTCTTTCGCCCCTGTTCCTCTCCCTCTGCCGGACACGGACAGAACTGCTGGGTGTTGTTTCACAGTAATGTATTTTAAGCTATTTGATTGAAAGAGTTTCAAATAAAAGTCTTTTTTGGTTTTCCAAATGTAGTGCCGGAGGATAAGCTCTCTTTCACAATCCATTGTAAAATTACTCCAAGTTTGCAACTTAACTCTTACACATTTCATTGAGTGTTGGTGCTGAGTACTCCTGAGCTGGATTCTTCTCCATGAGGACTCCAATCTAGAGTTAAAGCCTTTCTTTTGGAGCAATTGAACACATACTGCAAGTTTCAAAAGGGACATAAACCTAATTTTTTTAACTTTATATAGCAAAATAAATGCACAGATCTGTACACCAAAACACCAGTTTATATTTCCCTGTGTCCATCTTCTCATCTCTCAAACAATTCATGTGCTCAGCTCATTATTTTCCAAGGTAGTCGTGTGTCTCTCAGTTTTGTATGTAAACACAGCCTTTCTTCCTCTCTAAAAATAAAGACTGAAAGGTCTTTTTACAAGAACCATCCCTTTTTTCAGGTGGCTTTAACTGGGGGCTCAGAGTCCTCAGCTGTGTGATCTGTTGCTTAGTTATCCTGTACTGTTCAGACCTGAAAGATCTGTACGTTGAGTGCTGGCTGGTTTTTTGTTCAGGGTGCCTTCCTCTGAATGCACAGTCATTGCAGATACTCCTCAGACAGAATTTCTTCTGTGGTTTTGATCTTATGAGCCTCCAGACTGAAAAACAGGAGGAGGAGGGTGGGTTAGGTAAGCAGTTTACTGTCAAAACTGTTTGTTATGAGCTCAGAGTAAACAAAGATGGGGGTTTAGGTGTGCACATTGTGAAGAACCTGTAGATGGTTTATAAACCTTCTGACAGCTTAAAGTGGTGTAAACAGCAGAAGGAATTGCTTAATGTGGAAGGAATGTGCTGAGCAAGGAACGCGCATCAAGGAAGGGAAGGATGAGATCACTAATGATGTGAACAGTGGCTGAGTGAGGATTAGAAAGGTTAGAGACAGGAGGGGATCTATTTTGAAGAGAGGCAGAGACTGGTGGTTTCAGAGATCTGAAAGCCAGGTGTAGGGTCGGTGGGAGGAGGCATTGGGTCAGTTAAAATACATGAGCTGCATGAAGGAGCTGAAAATAAATCTTGTTAAGTACAATCCAGACCTCTGTTCAGCAGTTCTTATGCTTTCACTTAGATTAGCAACATTTTGATTAGAAAATTACGTTCTGCTTCCTTAGAGTAAATCTGTTTTCACCTATACATGTGTAGAATGTGGAGATTATAGATTCCTTGGAAGTGATAAAAGGAAACACAGGATATTTTTGCTCCCTGTGACCTGAGACAAATTTGAGAATCTCAGGGGCTGGAATGCTAAACTGACAGAGCAACAATGACAACTTTTAAGTACCAGATCCTCAGGAGATGTTTTTCTGCAGGCTGTAAGCTTGTATTGTTCTAGCAGGAGACAAGTGACAAAGAGAATTTGCAATTTTAGGTACCATCAAATTGTCAGCCTTGTAGCTTGATATATTGTCTTACCTTGACAGGTGAGACAATGCAGCAGAGGGGCTGCCATTTAAAGTGAGACTTGTAGTGTGACACAGAGGCACAAGGCACCAGAAACAGTGTGGCAGCAGGACCAAGGCACTGATCGTCCCCCTGTGCTGGGCACTGGTGAGACACCTCGAGTGCTGTGTCCAGTTCTGGGTTCCTCATGACAAGAAGGACATTGAGGTGCTGGATCATGTCCAGGGAAGGGCAACGGGGCTGGGGAAGGGTCTCAAGCACAAGTGTTATGAGGAGCAGCTGAGGGAGCTGGGAGTGTTTAGTCTGGAGGAAAGGAGGCTCAGGGGGGACCTTATTGCTCTCTACAGTGGAGGGTGTAGCCAGGTGGGGGTTGGTCTCACAAGTAACAAGCGATTGGGCAAGAGGAAAAAGCCTCTAGTTGTGCCAGAGAAGGTTTAGCTTGGATATCAGGAACAATTTCTTCACCAAAAGGGTTGCCAAGCACTGAAAGTCATGGAGTCACCATCCCTGGAGGGATTTAAAAGACACACAGATGTGGCACTTGGGGACATGGTTTAGTGGTGGACTTGGCAGTGCTGGGGGAATGGCTGGACTCGAGGATCTTAGGGGTCTTTTCCAATCTGAGCAGTTCAATGATTCTGTGATTCTAAGGTGATTCTCCACTATCAAACAGAATTCAANTTTTACAAATTTTTCTGGACTGTTAATAAAGAGTGTTTTTGAGATAATGAAAATGTTGAACTTAGCACTAAAAATATCAATAGAGGGTGTTAATGCAGGGTATGGAACATGCCGCTTGTTCACACCCTTTCTTACTGCAGTGACTCCCTGACACAGAGAAGCTCAAAGTTGCCATGTCCACTGTTGGATTCCATAATATCTCTGGGCCAGATCTCCTGCTTTATGAATGTGGTAAGAGTTTTATAACACTTCTGTTTCATATGGAAAGTTTTCCATGCTGACTGTCTGCCTTGAGGAAGGTGGGAAAAGAAAACTAGTTCCATGTGGGATTTTCATGTGCTTTCTTTTCACCTTCTTAATTCTCTGGAATTCCAGTTGAGGGAGCATGTTGCCCATTAGAGATCCCTTAGGATTTTAGTTTCATTAATGACTAAAGCAGAATGGCATTATTGTTATGAAGAAAGAATAACAGTGTCATGGGATTTTTAAAGCTGTTCTTCTATGGCAAGTTAACATGTTAACATTGTTGCAGAAAATAATTACTTCATTATGAAATTGTGAGAATGAAATAGTGAGCTTGTTTCTAAATAGGCCTAATTAGTCCAGAAGTATTCTGTGCCAGTATTCTTATTCCAGAGAAGGCAATTTGCACGGGGAATTATTCTGGAATGGCCATGGCTAAATCAATTACAATTTTTCTCCTGTCTTAAGAGAGAGCACGTGTTGGCACTGTGATGCTGTACAGGAGAATTTGAAAAAAGTGACTGCGTGTCACCTAAACTTCTCCACAAACACTGAATAGCTGGAGAATTTGGTTAAAGCTACCAGAAGAAAAATTCATGTTAGACTTTAGTGTATGCCAAGCACTTCAAATCATTTGTAGTTGTTCAGGCACATTTATTTCAATTGTAACTCCATTACTCCTGTGTGCATTATACCACTGATTACTTTTTGTTTGTTTTGTCCACTTGCAAAGTGTGTGGGACATTATTTTTCCAACACAAAATGAAGTGCTTACATGAAGAAATGAAGGAAAAAGATGTTTACATTCTGCAAAAACTATTGCACCAACATAAAAACGTCACTGGCATTCTAACAAGCATTGGCTTAATCCAAACTTGCACAATTACTGTTTTATGCATTGTCCTGAGTAGTTACATAACTATTTTGGCACATGTGAAATGTCAGAAAAATGAAAAGGTATCTTCTTTCCCCAAAGGGTCAGCACTGCCATATGCTGATTCCCAGCTAAGTCAGCTTTGAGCATTGTAGGGGACACAGAAGTTGTCTGTGATTCAGTTGATAATGTTTAAACTATTGTTATTTTAATTACTATTTTAAAGGAACATTTTTCTCTTCGGTTGTTTTGTTCTTTAATCTTTTCTGGAAATAGTAGATGTAGCAACAGTAACATCACTCTTTTCAAAGCAGTCATCTAATTAAAATGTGCTGAACCAAACAGACAAAATGCACATTGTTCTTGATTTTGCCCTGTGTGCAAAAGACATTAAACAATATTTTGTCTAAAAAGAGCATTGTTCTGTGCAGCTTGTAAAAGTTAATGAATATGATGAATCCTTTAATAGCTCCTTCCTTTCCTTTACTAGCAGTGTGTACCCCATTCCTAGAGCAGCTTATCTCCTCCCAGCCATACAGCTGAGGCAGACACTTCACAAAACAGGCATTTCTGAAAAGAACCCTTTCAGAAAGTTTCACCGCTTTTTTAGGAGGTGATGGTCTGTAAGAGCTGCTGGTCCTTGAAGTGCAGTAACTTTGGGGAAGAAAAAGCAGTGGTTTTTTAGTATGTACATTGATGTCACAGATTTTTAGGATTCTTGAGATGAGATCTTTTTAAGGGATTTTTTTTCTTTGGGCTTAGTCTGTAAATAGCTTTAGAGAACTGGAAAGGGCTCAGCCCAAGCCTGTGCTATAAGATTTGACAGTGTAGGTCAGTTGCCTCAGTGAGTGAAAAAAAAGAGCTGTGCCAGCACAAACCCACCAATGTAGAAGCAACTATACAGCCAGAAGAATTCCTTTGTCAGCCTAGCTAGTGTTGTTTGTGAAGGGAATGTAACAGTCCTAGCAGAAAACCCTCTTTCTCTTGCTAAGTGCTATGTAATTATGCCAGCAGAATTTCTGAAGTACATTCAGGCAAAAAAGTTGGCATGGGCATGAACAGAGAAACCCCAAGCGGTGCCAGAACAAAACTTGGTTCCTGAAGTTCTGTGTGGTAAATAGACCTTAAGGTACTGTTCTGTGACAGATGAATTTCAATCTTTATGTTTAATTATTGACATGATAGTACTACTTGTTTCCATTTTTCCCTTCAGAGTTTTCATTTTATTATTTTGGCTTTGATGCTCACGGTAGCTATTTTTCAAATTAAATAGTGAAAGATAAAATTCCCCTTACTTTTTTCAGGTGACTATTTTCTGTCACACAATACCAATTTCACATTTTAGAAATGAGTGCTGATAAGGATTGCTGGCAGTCTTGGGTTTCTCCTGATGTTTAAGGAAAACCACAGTCAAATTTGAGTTCATGTTCAGTGCTTGGTGTGCCCGTATTCTGCCAAAGCAACATGGGACTGTGGATGCTCTGCTCACATATGGAAGGTTGTAAATCTGGAGTGTGTGTGTGTATGTTTGTGTACAACTCCAAAGTACTACCTCCTGGCCTGTGCTGTGATGTTTACTACCTGTTCTCCCTTCCCCAGTAACAATTATTTGTTTTCTTGCAATCCTGTTCAGTAGTTTGATACCCTACTGGAACTGATAGTATGCTGAAATTATTCTTCTAGACAACAAACAGATGTTTTACTGCTTCCCAATGCAGATTTGAAGTTCAGAGAAGAGTTGCCAATGATTGAGAATCACATTAGGAGAGCAAATAAGTATTTATAAATTGTCCCCAGGTGTCACTCCTGAGTCAAACAGAAACATTTTAGAAGCAAATCCGAGAACTGGTTTTTCCATTTCTTTTTTTCCCCTGTCATTTCTGCAGTTGACACTTTCCTTCTTAAGTTTATTTCCCATTACTCTCAGTAATAATGTCAACTCCAGCAGGCCAGTTTAACCTGTCTGAAATATATCATCCTTAGAGGAAATCTTGGGCAGCTTTTAAACTTAAGTTACAGTAATGTAACTGCAAAAATACCTCCCTGGCAACACCTTGTGGATTTATGGTTAAATGACTGATTACTGTATTTGATAAATCCTTTCTTATTTTGTACAACTCTGCTAATTTCTGTCATCCTTTTGGAGCAAAATCACATGACAAGGAAAAAGCATTTATTACTATCAACAGGTAACTATGTGGAAAGCCAAAGCAAACTCTGTAAATCCCATAACAGAAAAAAAAGCTGAAATGTAACTTTGCTGGTAAATAAGGCATATATTTATTATTCCCTAAAGGCAAACATCACTGTAGGAAAACCATCATTCCATCCATTGCATATTTGTGGGTGTGTGTTTGAACACTACAAAGAACAAAATAATGTTCTGCTGAGGGGATTTAATGTGTATTATACAAGACAGTGGATACATTATTAACATAACTACAGTTTCTAAGTAACAATATCCTTATCTTAATGTCACTTAATGAATTTTTTCTTAATGCTTCTTGGGTTTGTTTCATTTATTGGCTGAATCCAATATTCTACTTCACAAACAGCTTCTAAATTCAGGTATTACTTCTCTCCTATTAAAGCCAATTGGCATAGTATGCTTCTCCCAACAAAATGCTTGAAGTTTTGGGTTTTTTAAAATAATGTTAACTTCCTTCTATCAAATTGCTCAAAATTGAAGGTTGCACAAGAATCTTATTAAGACAGAAAATGTATTCCTTACTCCTGGACACGGATTTTGAAATACTGTGTGTTTTAGATGTGTGGCAAGATCTGTCAGTGGGAACTATTGCTTATGATGATCTTCTGATTATATGCCTGCTTTCACACCCTTGGGAAGTAGGACTTTTGAATGTTAGGATGTGCAGAGAACAAAGGCAACAGGCTGTGACAACTGTAATTCCTCACAGTTTTTCTAACCATATTTTGCCCCTGTTTTGTCATTCCATACTTCAATGGAACTGTAAATAGTACAGGAGGAGAGGCTGTGACTTGTATGGTGGTTGTTTGTATGAATGGCACATTAAAGACCCTTTACTCTCATTGCTCCCCAGTTTCCTACGTGTGAAAAATGTATTGCTTAATAATCAAGGATTTGTGTTTTGGGAATTAGTTTACCCCTAAGGCTGTAAGCTTTGGGAAATAGCAGTCCAACTGTGGGAGGAAAAGTACTGCTGTAAGAGACAGCATCATTCTCCAGAGGTCTGATGAAATGAGCTGTATTTAACCTTTTAATTGGGGGGAAGTTTCCAGAGTTTGATTGAAAATATGAGACTTCTTTGTATTTACTTCTTGTCTTATGATAAATATGTTTGAACTCTAACTAGCCATGTAGGAAAACTGTTTCTGGCCAGCTGAGAGTGAAAGCATATCTGCCACAATATCTTATGATCCCATACATACGATATCAAATAATTAGACACAAATTTATTTCTACTGTACTTAGAGACAAGACTTTTCAAATTAAGACTAATTTCAAATTAAGATATTAGTTCACCAAATGTGTACTTCTGTGGTGGACTTAGTTTCACATCCCCACTAGGTAATCAACCCTTTCTTTTTTTTCTGTTTTGTTTCTGGCCCTTTTTTCCAGGCCCTAGGAAGTAAAACTCTGGGAACTGTCTGGATTAAGGAATTAAAGCTGCTTGCCACGTGGTCAGGTAAGCCCCAGAGCCCTTCCTGGTGCTTCAGAGTACAGAGAGAAGAGCAGGACCATCCCTTTCACTAACACCAAGACATTTAACCAGCTTAGCTCTATATAATCTAATGACATCTTTGGTGACCTCCAGACCAGTCTTACTAACTAGACATGAATAATTTCTGTGCAAAACCAATCTGATTTAGAATATATCTTGCTACATTTGGGTGACAAAATATTTTAGGAATCACTCTGTTAACACTTCTGCATATCACGCAGCAGATGGACTAAAGTTCAGTGACAGGATGCTGTTTTGGAGAGAGATGTATTTTGTGTAGACAAGAAAAGCTCTTGCCAACATGAAAAAACAGATGCACTTCTTCTGCACTAGGAAAACAGAGGAAAGAATTTAATAGCAAAAAGCAAAGTAGTTGTGAAGACTCTAATAATACTACCTGTGATAGGAATTATAACATTAAGTTACTTTCACTAATAGTTGTCTCACAAAGTAACGTAGAGTCTTACAGTCCTCTCTTTAATATTTTTCCCAGAAGTCCTATATTTGGGTTACATCTACTGGGAAGCACCAATAGATCATCTTCAAAATGTTCCACATAACAGCACTGAATTTTTAATATGCCTTGAGAATCTCTGTTGTTGTTTTTCTTCAAATATCATCTGGTCTATGCAATTTCTTCCAAACTACCGTAATCACATGAGCTTCAAACTTAGAAATAGAATGGGTATTTTGCACCTCACTGAAATGTTGTTTGTTTTATTTGTGCATGTGTGTGTGTTTTTTTCCTATTTTTTTTCAGATCATCCACAAAGGTAGTATGATCTGGAAAGGAAAAGATTGGTCCACATCCTGAACTTAGAACTCTTTGTTTCACCAGGCCATCCTAAAATGATTCAGACCAGTCAAGGTGACCTTAGACCTATGTGAGTTATTTACGTTTTAGAAAAATTCTTGAGTGGTATTTTGAGAACTATCTAATTTTCCAGAAATAATTCATCAACATCTGTTGCATAATAATATCTTTTGGAATGTATTTTGCCTGTATATTGCCAATGATGTATTTTTCCTTGCTTTAGTGGAGCACAGAAGCCTCAAGTTTGGTTATCTTTCCAGATTTCAGAAGTGAAATTTCTAAGTTTCAGGGTTGAAATCATGTCTGCATCAACTGCACCAGAGAAAGTATTCTTACTGTTTTGTTAATTTAAATGGTGGTTGTGTTGAGAACTTCTGTACATTCCCACTGGAATTTAGAAATCATATTTGGGTATAGCAATGTTTGCTTAGAGAAAAAATGTTATAAGCAGTGTCTACACCCACTGTAGACATATCTTATTATTTCTTTCCTTGCTTTTAGATCAATATATCTCTTATTAAGCCCCTTCTTCATGGTTTTTATGAGTAGTACCACATCATATCCAGTAGGTATCAGTTGTAGGATACATTACAGTAACAAGTAGAGCAGGAGTGCGTAATGAAGCCCAACAAAGGCAAATGTAAGTTCTTGCACGTGGGAAAACACAATTCAGGAGAGCAGCACAGGCTGGGATCTTTCATTGGAGTCAATGGAATTATATTGATAAAAGCTTAAAGTGTTGGACCCAGCTTATCTGTCCTGAAATCACTTCACTACCCTGCAGATACTTTCACGAGTATCTGCCATCTTGAGATCACTGTGGAGAATGTGACTGTCCTCTCCATGGCTGAAAAGGTTAAACAGCATCTTCAAACCAAAGACTCAAATTACTCTGTGCACAAGCTTCATCAGAAACATGAATGATATCCGAGCCATAATCTGGGTTTCTTCCCCAGGAGTGTAAATATATGAGGCAAGTCAGAACAAGCATTGGCTTCCCAGTGAAATTTTTGGCATCACCTGTGGTCCTTATTTTCTTTTGTCACAACTAAACTGAATTTTGTCAATTCCTATTTATCCACTAGTTTAGAATAGGGAGAAAAGCCTACAATAGAAAGCCTTGAGCTGTGCACCTGGCCCACAGAAACAAGTGCAGAAGACACAATAAACATTTCCATCTGCTAGAGACTAGAATACAGATTTGTTACACTGTTCCACTCCAAACAGTTTGTGTATTCCCACATGGTTTATTTTGTGGGAGAATAAGTCTCGTACATAGTAATGTGGTGTGAAATCACAGTTTCTTATACAATGTTTTTCTTTTCTCTTTCTGTAGTCAAAAAGGCAATTAACTTAAACATGGCAAAGAGAAATTTAATTATAAATAAGCCTGTAATTCTGATCTAGCTATGTCAGTGATACTGGATAAGGACAGTTATTGCTACTTGCTAGATATTACTATTATTGTATTTAAAATAAATTCTATAAGATTAAGCCATCAAGATACAAGTTAGCTGTGTGAACTGTTTTCATTGTGGCAGTCTCCTGCCAAAGCTTTTTCTTTTTCCTGTGAGAAGACCAAATACATTTTCAGAAATGTTACATTCACTGTGTACCAGGCTGGGATGGAGGTGTCATATACACCTATTTTTCCATGTTGGGTACTGCAGTTATAGCACAGTGACAGTCATGTATTATGGAAAAATAAGGGAAAAATGCAGATAATGTTTTGAATAAAAATTTTAAAATATCGATAAAGCTTTTCTTTCATCACTAGAATGTAATATTATTAAATGTCTCATATAAACATGGTTATAAGCAAAAAAATAGCTAAAACCCCAAAAATGAACCCAGCAAATAAGCCTCTCCAAACCTAATAGACTAGACAAATGAGGCTAATTTGGAATTGAGGAGCAATATCTCAATGACCAAATCTCTAGATTTTGTCATTCCATTATACCTGAAGGTCTTAGAAGTATTTTATACAACACAATCATGAAGTTCTTGTTGAACCTGTAATTTAACAGTATCTCTTTTAAAATCAGAACCCCATTCATTTACAAGAAGTAATTCTTTCATCAGCTATGTGTTTTAAATGTTGTTGTCCATCCAGGGAAACAGGTACGATGGAAGTTGTCTGAAGCTGCAGAGTGAGTCTGTGGCAAACCCGGGAACTGAACTGGTCATATCTTCTTACTGCTATGTCTCCTGCCTCTGTTTTTTTTTTATCTTTGGACTGGGACAAAAAGTAAGGATTGCATATTATAAGAAAACATGATTACTGCAGCCCATCACCACAAAGTTTTAGAGACAAGAACAATTATTATGAACTCCTGTTTGGAGATCTTTTCTATGATTTGTAATCTTCAGCACCTGTCCAAGAAATGCTTTCTATAAATAACCATTTTCTGTTTCAGACAAGATTGGTGCAGCTGCTCAGTTTTTCTACAATTGTGAATTGCCAAAAAAAGGAACAGTAATTCCTTGGGGACCTCAGAGTTAAATCCCTTCTATGTAACGTGATACTATCAAGTGGGGCTGTGATGGAAGTCCATTATTGCTAGCTGCTCTTAGAGTTGCTCAAACTGAGAAGTCCTTTGTAGATGATCCTCGCTCTTTTACAATTTCTGTGGCTTTGTAGTTCCATAATTACTGCCCCTGATGGCACCCTGCCCCAAAAATGAATACTTTGATCATTTGCTGCTCTCTTGTACGCCTTGTCATCTCCGATGTTCCAGTTCGCCACCGCCTTCGTGTGAGAACTACTGTGAGCAGAGTAAGTGTGTTGCTGCAGCATTTTGTGGCTGCGCTGGGCACTCTTGTGTTGTATTTTACACAGAGGTTTGATGTGTTGGACATGTTTACTGTACATTAGTTATTGTTTGCGATTAACTTCATGCATCTCTTTTATTTCATAAGGCACCGATTCAAGTGGAATTCTTTGGATTTGTTTGGGCTTAGGAGTAATTTTAATGCTCACTCTGTTCACCTTAATGGTCTTGTTTAAAAGGAAGCGCCTAAAGCAGTCAAAAGAAAAACTGGAAAATACAGGTGAATAAATAAGATTCTTTATAAATAATCTGAGATCATTGTATATTTTAGCTACTCTTACCATGTACAAATTTTGCATGTCATTTATATTCCCAATTCTGATGACTGTCTTTGTTGGATTGTTTTGTATTCCTCAAATAGTCTCCATGAAGTTATCAAAGCTATTAGGCAATAAAATACCCAGATGGTGACTTGCAAAAGCAGGAATCTCTCTTTGTTGGTTCCAGATCCTGCCAGGATTGTATGGTTGTATATTCATACCTGGCTTACTTACTGGTGTTTGAGAAGTCATTTATGAACCCTCAATAGCAAAAACCTTTATAAGGGTTTCACCCTCTTCTCTTTGAATGCAAAAGGAATTCTACAGGTAGAGGATACGCATTCAATATTAGCTTTTCATCTTATAATAATTTAAATAATTTTATTTAGTATTGCAGTGTGTGAGAAGTCTATGTGGTATATTTTGTGACAGTGAAAAAATTTAATCTCTTTTTACATTTTACAAATAATGTATTTGTGAGTGTTCAGACAATAAATAATAACTTATTAGAAAATATGTGTTTGATTACTTCAATGCTTGAAGTATAGCAGTTATATTTTCATGGAACAAAAGATCATATATAACTACATCTTAAAACTTTCACTAAGGTTAGAACATAGTTGGAACATAATGAAATTTGGATCTTTAATAACTGTATGTTTGGTATAGGATGATGTATGTACTATATTAACTTCTGTATATTTACAGACTCCTCTGTGGAGCTGAATAATATTCTCAAGGCTAATACTGACAGCAGTGGGAATACAGAAGAAATTAGACACACACTTCAAAGTGAAACATTAATGTATTCAGTGGAAGAATGCACTTGCAGTGACTGTGGCTTGGTAAAATCTCAGACTGGCTGTGAAACTTCATTTCCATTACCAGCTACCGAAGAACGAGCAACTGTTCTAGTTACCACAAAATCTTTTGATTATTGCAACTATGTTCTGGGTGTTGGATGACTATGAGAGTGAATTTTTACTGTGTAATAATAAATGAGTTATTCCAGTATGGTGATTAATCTTAATACTTGCAGTCAGTGGAGGAGGTAGTACATTGTCCTTATAGATCTTCCATTGAGCTTTCATTAATATTGTCATATTATTTCTAATGCTAGTATTTCTCTAGTCAAGTATTTCTACATTATGCTCGGGTACTAAACTAGTTATTGGAATTTTTACTTTCTGAAAGTCCTTACAAAGGACAGCTTTTGCTGCTCTTAAAGACTGTATTTACTTACACCAGATATATACAAACCCATCAATAAACAAGTGTGCAAATATATGCTTTATGTTAAACTCAGATCTTGTGCCAAAAATTACTTGATGGGACACAAGGAATGTTCCAAGAGGCAGAAATGAAGACCCACAGTACATCCTCAGGGTTGTAGCCCCTATGATACTTGAAACAGGAATGTTCTAACGATGGATCCTTGTAGAGTATGGAGTCCTCCTGGTTCAGAAGGTATTGCTGGGTCACACTGAGGGAGGTTGTGGGGCTGTGGAACACCACACCATGGAATCATGGAATACCCTGAGTTGGAAGGGACCCACAAGGGTTATCAAAGTCCAGCTGTTGGACTTCACTGCAATCCCTGCCATCCCCATGTATTTCCTGGTGGCACCAGCTTTCCTTTCAGCATCCTTCTCTGATGTATCTCTATTCTACTAATTTTTTTACTTACCTTTATCATATTTACAAAGACTGGCGATTAGCAAGAGTCATGCCAGACTACTGTGTGGCCTAATATTAGGCCTTGCCTTCCAAACATTAATATTATTTTCCTAATATTAGGCCAGTTATATTCCTGGAAAACTGCAACAACAGAAAAAAATGTCAAGCCAACAATCTTCTTTATTCATAGCTAACTTTATATTTCAGTTTCTTGCACAAATGACGAATTAAAATATTTTAGGACTAGTAAATTATTGCACAAAATCTATGAACGATCCCTGTTAGAGCAGCTTTAGGAGTCTGACAAAGCTTGGGCCGGTTGGGATTTAGCTGCATAGGTCTGGGCACAGAGAGGCAAAACCTCTGAAACAGGCCTAGATAGAGAGCTATTAAATTTATATTGGAATTTTTAATTCCTGAAAGCCCTTACATAGGACAGCTTTTTCTGCCTCTAGAGATTAGAGACACACTTTCAAAGTGAAACATTAAGGTGCCCAGTGGAAGAAGGCGCTTGCAGTGGCCGTGGCTTGGTAAAAAACCTCAGACTGGCTGTGAAACTTCATTTCCATTATCGGCTACCGAAGGACGAGCAACTGTTCTAGTTATACCACAAAACCTTTTATTTTCATTATTGCAACTACGTTCTGCGTGTTGGACCACATTTTATTTTATGTTGTGTCCCACAGTTTTTGTACCTTTTTTATTTTTATTTTTTCGAAAAACGACCGTTTCCGAGCTTTCACCTCGCACAGCACCCGTGCCAGCGCAGGACAGGTTATCCCCGCTTCTCTCGCCCCTCCCGTGCCCGGTGTCCCTTCCCGCCCCACAGGGCTCAGCCCGGGCGGGCGGGGGCGGCGCGGCTGCCGCGGGCTGTGGGGTCGCGATGAGGGTCGGCGAAGGGCTCCGTGCCGGGGGACACCGTGAGGAGCCCGTGAGGGCCCCCGGGCTGGCCGCGCTCCCCACACCCCGGGCCGTGTTTACCTTCCGGGGCGCGGGCGGGTTCCGGGGCGGGCGGTCGCTGCCGGCCCGGCCGTGGCTGAGCGGGAGAGCGGCGGCCCCGGCGGACGGAGCCCCGCGGGCACCATGAGCGGTGAGTGGGGCGGGCCGGGCCCTCCGCCCCCGGGGGAGGGCACAGCCCGGGGGTCCCCGGCCAGGCGTGGTCCTGCCCCGGTCCCCCGTTCTCCCCGTGCTGAGGCACCGAGCGCTTCGGTCTCTCATCACCACACCCCGCTCCTCATTCCCGCTCCCCCAAGTACCCCCGAAGTGCTGGTTTACCTCGTTTTAAACCCCAAGTGCTGCCCTTGAGCGTGGCTTTACTGGCTCACAGCACAAGTGATGCTGGGCTCGGTGTTGCCTCAACTGTGCAAGATCACGGGGAATACTCCCGAGAAAATACATGACCAAGAAAAACGGAAATAATAAAAATTAACAGAATGAACTCAGGATCAAGCAGGCGATGGGAGAGGTGAAAAGCATAACCATGACCAGTGGAGAAAGTGGTGCCTTCTGGTGTTCGGGGTGTGCTGATTGTGTCTCCAGCTCAGTCCTGGCGAGGATGTGTCGGGTCTGGATGTGGGAATTTCTGCCCTCCGTGTTCGGGGAAAGCGGTGCGGGGGATGTGCCGAATCCCGAGGGGTCTGAGGTGTTTGTCAAAGGAAGTTCTTAGAAGCTTTGCCTGAGAATTGTGACCTATAAACTCCAGAACTGGAGGATGTAGAACCACATGAATGGGTCAGCATAAAGAGTTGTGAGGGAGAATGAAATTTTAATGGATTTCTCTTGTAAATGTAAAGGATAAGTGGTAGTTACTGAATATGTATTAAAGCACATTGGCGGGGTTTGTTTGGGGCTTCTTAAGAAGTAAATACTTGGGTGGGTCTCCTTGTACAACTTCAGTAATGGAAGTTGCAGTCAACAGTCTGCACCTGAAAATGAGATTGCTTGTTTATCCCCCACCCTGAGTTAATATGTGGTGAGGTTTGTTGCCTATAAGGCTGTAAGAAAATACTGAGGAGTTAACTGGAGTAACTAAATGCCACATTGCAGTAATTTCTGAAAATGAAATAAAAAATAAAACTGCTTCAGTTGTATTTTTCTCTGTTTTGTTCTGAACTTTGTGGTAAGAAGAAAACAGTAGGGTTTTTTTATGGAAGAGATGAGGCAAAAAAAGAGATTATTTTTGGGAAACCTGTTAATTAGTCTTGTGAAAAATGCAAGTAACAGGGAAATCTTTCAAACCATGGGAAAACAAAGTTTCTCAAATGTTTCAGATCTTGACACAATATAGACTAAACCCTATATGAAATCTGTAAGAGTAATTGTTTTCATAAGGAAAACCTCAGCTCTTCAATGGTGAATTCAGGCCGGGACTACCCTTGTGCAAATTTGTGCAAATCAGAGCCTAAATCTTCCTAGGAGACTCACCTTTGGAAGCTCTGTTTGGATTCTGTGACTCAAAAGGCAAGGTAGCACCTCTTGTGGCCTAAAGCTTCAACATGTAGCTATTTTTAATACCTTTACTCTTGTTTTTTTTAAGACAATGAAGAGATACAGGTTTATGAGGAGAAAACATTTAATTACTTAAAACAGAATAATGCCTAAGGTTATTAATTAACATTAACACTAGTACTTCAGTTACATGGTGACCTAGCCAAGTGTAGCCCCTGCCAAGACTTATATGACTTTCCCAACAGTTTTGATTAGACAGTGAGATAACAAAAAACCCTACTGATGTTGCACTTTGCCAAACATTACTGTTATACAACACTGTGCAGAATTTTCTCAGAATAATACAAATGAAACAGTTCAGAACAAAGAAGTATCTATCATGCTTGTTTCAGATAAAGGAGATAGCTAATGTTAACATCAGTTTTAATCATGACCTTCTTTTAGCAGCTGTAACAGCACTGTCTGCACTTATTTCCTTGGCCAGTTTTAGCCCTTGAAAGTAAAAGAGGTGTTCTAAAATATAGATAGAAGAACCTCTTTTCCTAGTGGCTATAATTAAGTTTAATGTTTATTTTTTTAGCTACAGTGCATTTCTAGTGGATGTGAAGGTAACTTCCTGTTTATTTAAGCATTACTTAAATATTACTAATACTTAAATATTACTAATGCTACTTATTAATTGCATAGTCATATTTTATTGTACAAGTGCTGAATAGGCTAAACTTTAAAGGGAAGTAACACAAGGAAACTAGACTTCTGTGCTTGTCAAGATTTATGGGTGTTGTCAGTTGTTTAGCAACAGTTTCAGAAAACTTAAAAAGGCACCTAATTGAGGATGAGGCAGTAGAATCATAATAATGTAGTATCAGGTGGCATTTAAATTAAGTCTGTGTTTGTTTTATCTTAAACTTGTACCCTCAGAACCTGTACTAGAGCAAGCAAAAGGGATTGCAGTCTGAAATTTTGCATACAAGACTTAAATACAAGTAGTGTTTTAAGAGCAAGCTGAGATTTATTTTTTTAACTTATATGCTACGTGTGGTGCTGAAGAGCTTTAGCTATAAAAAATCGGATGAAAATCCTTCTTTCCTTTACTTGCATGTCAGTTCTCTGCTGCTTTGGGTGTGGATGTTTGTGTCAGGGTATGGAGAGAAGTTTGTTTCAAAAATAGGAAAGCATGACCTTGAACAACAGAAAATAAGGAGGGTCACAGAGGCAGGTGCAGCACCTGAGCCTATTTTAAACCCTTTTAAACTGAATAGATGTTGGTGGGAGGAGTCTCTTTAAGTTTCTTAGCTTTTGCAACCTTAGGCTTATGTTTTCACAATTATTTTTAGACTCATGTAGGAACTTCCTTTTTTTGTTGCTATAGTCTAAATGCAGCCTTTTTTTGAGTAATGCTGTTTTTGTGCATTCTCTGTTTTGTATTTGTATGTGTGTTACTGCAGTTTTTACCACTATTCTGAATCAGGAGAAGGGTATTTTGGTCAGTTTGGAATACACTTAGACTTTAAATCAGCTGGAGGTAATCACACTTAATTGCTGCTCTTGTCTGAAAATACACTTTTTTGTTTCCTAAAGGCTTAGTTTAGAAAATGAAGATGTAAAAGGGTAAAATCTTAGAGTTAGTACAGATTTATTTTTACCTTCCACCTGAAACAAAAACATTGCTAAATAGTACTACATTTTCTAGGCTTATTACAAAGAAAAATATATCCTGTGTTCAAAAAAACACACAACTTAATCTTTCAGTTTTAAAAAAAAAGTTAGACTTTGTGAATATTCTTTTTCTTCTGTCTGCAGAACTTCTGCTAAGCACAGCACTAGAAGAATTTAAGATGTGCATTGAAGAGAAACCTCGGCCATCACTCAGTATAGACTTTATAGTATTATGTGGCCTTATAGCCTTGTTAATGGTGGAGGTGATTTGAAATGCTTGTGACATTATTGGATGTAATCACGTGTAGTCCTGATTGTTATTAGTGCAAATTTGTGACCATAATGAAGACAAAATGCACAGTGCATTCAGTCTGTGTAGATTTAGGGCTGTTTGATATCACAGGCTTTAGTGTTTCAGAACATCAATTAGTGTAGTGAAAATCTGTAGGTTTTCTGTATTTATGCATTTTTTATATTGATCACAGTTTGAAATCTAGTTGCAAACCATTTCTGTGTTACCAAATAGATACAAAGAGTCTGAAGAGGTGTGAACTTAAAAACTAACATGTATTGCATTTGGAAGTCAAACTTAGCTCACATACCAATATTTTCATTTGAAAGATGTTTTTCAGGTCATGAAATTATTAATTACAGGCATTTGTTCTGATGTAGTCTCAAGAAAAGTTGTGTTATGCCTGTTCTTGCAGGTATGTGGGTAGCATAAGATGTAAAAGTAATGAGTTTTGAAGAAAATCTATAGGTTTGTGTACATTCAATGTCACTGCACATGAGGGGTTGTACTAAAAGCTGGGATAGTTTTATTTTACAGTTCTGTGATTTATTATAAGACATATAAATGCAGAGGCATGTATGCATCTCCATTTTTGGCAATGCATGCTTGCTAAAAAGACTGAATATAATTTAATAAATTATAATCTCTGAAGGAGCACAAAGTGGAATGGTAGGGATTATATGAATTTAACCTTATCTCTGCAGTGGCATAGCTGGCATAGTTGTTAGGAAGCTAAAACCTGGTTGGTGTGGAGTTTGTTCTGGAGTCCTTTGCTGCCTCTGAACATTGTTTGTGTGCACCGGAGTGCTTGACTAACAGACCTGAACCTCACACATCACATGCCTGCCCAGATTGAGTCAGAGTTCAAAACTGGAAGTATAACTTCTAGAAAACACACTGCAATCAGCTAAATAAGCCTTGTGAAGCTTAGTTAGTGAGCAGCTACGTTTGCGTGTTTTTCTTGTTTTCCTTCTTCTGTCGTACCTTGGGGGTTTTCTTCTCCTAATCCCATATTTAATGAATATACATGGACTATGAGTTATATTAATGTATTTATAGACAAATTAACATGAATATATATTCAAACATTATAATAATATAATATATATTAATATATTATATGAGTATATATATTTAAACAAAGACAGAGCCATTTCAGTAGGACAAATTCTGTCCTGTCCTGGTTTAGGAGCAAACTGTTTTGAATGGTATTATGAAAATAGGAAATTCTGGGATTTGGACATCGGTGTCAGATAGCAAGAGGAAGAGACACATATCTTTGATGTCATCTCTCTTTACTAAAGGGCTTATTGTGTGGTGTTTGATTTTCAGTGTCTGGAGGAACTTGCTCATGCAGAGTTTTGATAATTGGCTTTCAGTCTATACATGTATTGACTGTATGTTCTTTAAGAGGGAAAGGATAATAATGACCCTAATTCTAGAGAGTTCACAGAGGTTTCTGATAGATATTTTGAACTTAAGCTCAGAATAAAAACGTTATAGAGGTAATATAGGTTAATTAAAGAATAAATTTTACATATATTCATGGGACTTTATAAAGGATATTCCAACAAGCAAAGTATTATGCTATTTGTTGTTGAAATGCTTGAGAAGTTAAAGATTGTCTTGCATAGTTGCTTGAATAGTAAGAAACTAGATTCTATAAGTGTTAATCAGGAAGAACTCTGCTGGTAGCTAAATTTTAAGGGATTGACTGTAACAGTTAGAAAGTTCACCTGACTTAAAACTCTTTCTGCAGTGAGGTTGTTTGACAGTAAGAAGATATTCCTGCTGTTTCCTGCTCATTTTCCATTCTTTTTCTTGTTCTACTAAGCTGGTAGTTGTCCCAGTATGAGTGAATACTTGTGTGGTTGTGTGAGCTCCATCATACACCTAATCCAACCTACCAGAAAAAAAAAAAATCTCAAACTGTGTTAGTTCTAGGCTTGCACTGTGTCCCCAGAGGTGGTTGGTTGTGCTGTGCATCAGCTTGCACAGTTATACTGTATTTGGTATTACTGCAATATATGTTATATCATGAAACCAAAATCTTACTAAAATAAGACTCTAGATGATATTTGAAACAGTATTCCTGCTATACCAGCATATTGTATACATATATAACAGCATGTTATAGAAAGGCTACTTGAAACCTCAAAACAGAGTTTATACTGCATCCTTTTACTTAGAGAAAATACATTAGGTAATTTAATGGAATAATTGGCATGGGAAGAAAGTTTTCAGGGCCCTTGTGTTGGCCCAAACATATTTTACAGAGCCTATTTATTTTAAAATGATATAATTTCATTGAATTTCAGGTTCACAGAACAATGACACTAAAAGACAGTTTCTTCTAGAACGGCTGCTGGATGCAGTTAAACAGGTGAGAAATCCAATACACATTTCTGTAGTATCCTTGCTCAGAGTTGTCAGAACTGGCAGGAACTGTCTTTGCTCTTTTTCCTTCTCTTTAACAAGCGGGAGGAATAAGAAGAAAAGGAGAGAGAGAGAAGAAATCTTGGCTTTTACATGATACTAAATATTTTTTTTTCTGCTAACAAACAACTATTATGAAGTATTTGTTTAAAATTCTTGTTCCTGACAGATTATACTTGTAATGTATATACTTGAAGTATATATAATACTATAGAATATATGCTGTGAACATATATATTTGTAATACTGATAAGACTGAACTAAATTGAAGTGTACTGCAAAGGCTAACCTGGTGAACATTTTAGAGTAGAAGCTTTTTTTCTTTGCAGTAGTTTTTTAGTGAATGGTTAAAATACATGTAAAGGTACGATTTGTTTATTTATGTCTGTATTTTGCATCAACATGAAGTTCAGCAAGTAGAATTTCATACACTGGATTCAATTTAAGAGGGCTTGTGAGGGAAAAGAATGCCTCAGGAGTAAGCCAATGATATGTTTTATAAAGAACAGTTCTTCTGTAATTGTAGTACTGGGCTGAATAAGAGAAATGTTTGGTTTTGTGGGTTTTACATTTTACATTTAAAACCCCAGAGTAGTAGTTTCCACTCAATTTTCAATTTAGTGAAGGACCTGCAGGTGTGTTGCTCTGACTAGCAAGGATAGATTTGATCTGCAAGAGTAGCCCGTTAGTGGAACATGATGCTGTAGAGCACTTTTTGGTTTCAGGCTGTATTTGCCAATGCTTTACTTTGCGCTGCTTCCTTTTTTTGTTAGGATTTGGTTTCTTATATGGAAGAAATTCAGAAAATTAAATTTTTTTCAGTGTAACAAAAATTTCATAAAACTTCTTAAACTTGGTTTCTTGCAGTGTCAAATACGGTTTGGAGGAAGAAAAGAAATTGCTTCAGACTCTGATAGCAGGTAAAATAGTCTTAAGAAACTTTTGACATGCTTAGATTATGCGTCATAATGACATAAAACATGGCACAGAATACTTGATACATTATATTACATGAAATGTAGGTGTTCTGAAGCTGACATAACATGGCTAACAACCACTCCAGCAGGTGAGGATGATTTCTCAAATTGATTGCCAGTTCTGAATGTAATCTGTGCCCCAGCTTTCGATCATCATGGTGAGACTGTGGGTATAAGTAGATTATCCTGCCTGCAAATAATGAGATTAGTGCATAGAAGGGGTCTTTCACTGTTTATGAGATAATGCTTCATTTTACATTCCCTATTCAGAGATCTGGAATAAACTTGCTGTATAGAAACGTGGTTGATTGGTTTTTTTTCCCTATGATTTCTTTAAAAATTCTGTTGCAGAGTGACTTGTTTGTGTGCTCAGTTTGAAGCTGTGTTGCAGCACGGCCTGAGGAGGAGCCGAGGACTGGCATTAACAGCAGCAGCAATCAAACAGGCAGCAGGTTTCTCCAGTAAAACTGAAACAGGTAAATTGGTAATTGTAACTATTTGAAGTAGTTGATATGTTCAGTCAAGTGGTATAATTTCTAACAGGAGTTTTAAGCATTGCTTAAACTGCAGGCTGTAGGTAGGATACTTCATTCTTGGCAGGGTGTTGTAGCAGTGAAAATGATTATTGCTTTCTTATCTAGTTTAACTTTCATACCAAGTTTCTCTAGAAATTTTTGGTGTGAGGCAACTTCTTAACAGTTAAATGATGTGTAGTGGCAAGTTTATTTTGAATTCTGGTAGGGATAAATGTTGTGTAATTGTGCTGTTAAGTTTTTACAACGTTTTCATTCTTAACCTTTTCTTACTCCACTTTTTAACTGACATATTCTATTGCATCAGATGTGTTTAACTTCTAAGTATTGATGTAATTTTAGAAAGGAAACTTATATTACTTGTAACTAAAATAAAGACAAAATGCACATTGCATTCAGACTGTGTAAATTTAGGGCTCTGTTGTTTTAGTAGTTTTTTTATTGCTTTTCCACATTTAAAGAAAATATTCCTTTATTTTTCTCTTCGCTTTGATGTTTCTCTTGTTTTTTTAATAAAAACTATATGAAGATATTAATCAGTTTTGTTGTGAAATTTGACTTTCAGTATTTTTTTCCTTAATCAGGCTACACATAATGGAAAGAGCTTCTTTTTGACTTTTGAAACTCTGTCAAGTGTAACATATTACACTTGTAAACCCACAGAGTGGAGTTTTGGGGTTTGGTGGGGTTTTTTAAAATATATTCAGTGGTGCTGGAATTGTTAATACACTTTGATCTGCAGTTATAACTTCCAGTGACACCAGACAACTGCATATAATGGATATTACGTTAACACAAAATGTGTAGTTTGATATAATGGTGTTTTTAAATTGCTTCAGCAATGGACTTGTTCCCTGTGGCAGACAGGGTGAAATGTTGAGACTTGTGTGCTCACCTTCCTGCTAATGGGTTAGAGCCTCCAGGCTGGGCTTTTTTTGGGAGCTAAAGTAGCCATGCTCTTAAAGAAATTGGTGAGTTCTCCATGTTTGCCTCTTTTACTTAGTAATGGGCAAGAACCTGACACTTTGCTGGTGCTAAATGAACAAGTGAGGCAAATTCAGCTGTTTACACTGTCTTTACAGATTTTTCAGCTCTTCACTGGGCTTTTTTTCCCCTTGTGTGTATTTGTAATTGGGGATTGGATATTCTGTGGTCTCCTTCAGACTCTGGGTGGTTTCCATCTCTTCAGCAGGCAGTGGTTTGGTTATCTGCAATTGCTTTGGTGCAGGGAATGTGCTTCCCTCTTCCACTCTCTCTGGCTTAGGCAAACAGTGTGTCTTTTAATTTGAAGACAATTCTTATGATTTCTCTCCTGTCTGTTGCTAAGGTCGAGGGTGTATGAAATTTTTGATCCTGTGTGTTAGTGGTCAGAAGTACAAAGATACATCTCTGATTCTTGGGAGTTTAGTAACAATTTAGCTACATGTTCTTGTGTATGTGTGTCTTAGCTGGGGCTTGGCAGTGAGGTGGAGGAAGAGGAGAAAGTCGGGAAGGTTATCTATGGTTGGGGAATGGAAGGAGGAAGAAAACATCATTTTTAGTCCTGAGGAAGCTTAAGCAATGTGTGGAAGGTCAAGAACAAAAACATGGCTGCTTTGCAGCAAATAGAATGGTGTACAGTGACTTTTTTTTTGTTTTTAATGGAATTGAAGGCTCCCTTGCGTTTATCTTTACAAATTATGGTGTTGGGTTGGTATGGTTTTGCTTTTTGTTTTTTTTTCCTTTTCCCTGAAAGCAGTTGCAAAGTATTTCTATATTTATATCACTTTCAGGCACATGAGTCTGGTATGATTTATATCCCACTCTGTCTAGCATAATCACAGGTGTCATCTTTTTTTTTTTTTTAGCACAGTGGGATACTGCTGTTTAGGCTATAAATTCAGGCTTTGACAATTGAAAAATAAAATTGTTCAGCAGTGGTTTTTGTTTGAAATTTACAGATCCTTCATGACAAGCTGTACTTAATGAATGCCAAACTACACCATATTGTAATCATTTTAAGTTTTACAGATGAATTATCTGGGTTTTTTTGTTGTTTTCACCCTGAGAAAATGGTAAGAGGTAAATTGTGATAAATATGTCCCTAAAATATGTTCTTACTCTGTTAGAAATGGGAATATGCAAAATACCTGGTGTTTTGTTGTACATTTACAATTACTGATGTAGATTTTTTGTTACCTCCAACTGAGAAATTCGAGGCAACTGCAAAAAAACTTTTTATCAGTATTTGGTGACAGGGCAAGGAAAGTGTTTTAGTGGAAAGAGGTATTGTTGCCTTTTAAATGCAACACTTTTGTTTTTTAAAGTAACATGACTTTGTCATTTGCATGTCAGTGAATTCTATAGCTACCCTTTCCTTTGGATGTAGCTCCTAACATTTCACAATCAACAGTAACATAGAGTTCCAAAGAATTTTTTTTTCTTTGCTTGATATATTCTCAGCTGAACACCTGAACCTGTCCTATGGATGAAATAGTTGCTTAAATGTGTTTTTTATGTAAAAGCATGAGATTGAATCCTTTAGTTTGTGTGTTTGGCTTTTTCAATGAAGTTAAAAGTTCCAAGTGCTTAAATAACCTGAGTCCAGTAGAAATAAATAACCTATTTAACAGAAGGGTTGCACCAAAATGGTAAATGATTCACCTCTGTCCAAAGTATAGGTAGCAAAGTTACCTGTTGGTTTTATAAATTTGCATGTAAATGCATTCAGGTATGAGTTTAGCAGTTTTCTTGGTTGGGTTATGATTAATAATAAGTTATTATTCAATTGCAGAGCCAGTGTTCTGGTACTATGTGAAGGAGGTTCTGAACAGACACGAGCTGCAGCGCTTTTACTCTCTGAGGGCCATCACCTCGGATATTGGCAGAGGCCGGGCCTGGCTGCGCTGTGCACTGAACGAACATTCCCTGGAAAGATACGTTCACATGCTGCTGGCAGACAAGAATCGACTCAGGTGCTGCATCTGATATCTTTGTAAGGCAGGAAATGTGTTGAAAAATGAAGTACTGAGAGTAAAAAAACCCCAGACAACCAACCAAAAGCCATGGCTGTAATAATGCACCCTCTTCATTGCTGTGCTGGTCAAACTGCTTCACCTGATTCTTTTGTTAATTTTTTAAATTTTTTGCAGCCATTAAGAGAGTGGCTTGTGCCTATGCCAACATGTGACCTGAAACTGGCTTCATTCTACCCCATGAGAATCTATGCTTGTATCCTCACCTTCATTTCCATCCTATTTCCTAACTCTCTTCCCTGTTCTTTCAACAGTTTTCCTCACTGAGACATTGGCACCATGCTTTGAGGTGCCCCTCTCATTCCATTAAAATTGCAGCCTTGAGCTGACCAGTTCATCAGTGGCAGTTGCCTGTTGCCTTTTGGAGGTGCTCATGGTGTAATTGCAAAGCTGCAGCAGTGAAATAGTGGGGAGCTGCTACCGCAGAGCCCTTGGCAGTGGTTTGCTAACAGCTCCTGAACCTTTTGTTACAGTTACTGAGGATAACTTCCATTGCGAAATCCTGAAGTACTTTGGAGGTGCAAAATGCACTTAAGTTCACAGAGTCCTACCTTTCTCCTCATACATCTTAGCTCCTGTTCTTTTTGAAAATTTGAGGTGTTCTCCTTGTTTTATCAGTAACTGTTGAGCTTGATCAAGTCCGGTGGATCCAGCAGAAAGCCATTCTTTCCATTTGCATTGATTAATGGATTAATGGATAAGGTTATTGCCAGAACTGAGTTTGTTAATTCCTCCGTTTAATTTTTATTTTGTTCCAGTCTTCTGTAGCTTTCTTCCAATATAAAATCAAACGAAGACAAATGAAACGATAAGGAAAATCTGAAAACCATTGTGAGGAAATTAGTGACTTGAATTGTTGTGTCACTAATTACTCTTGTGCTTTTAGCAATACTTGCTCAGTATCAGGATTATCAGCACAGTCTGCACTGTAATGCTATTTCTAAAAAGGCTTATTCCAGAATCCATTGGTGTAATCTTACTTATTTTTTGGAGTTTTCTTGTTTTTCAGAAGTGGAATATATACTCAGTATAGGACTACATATTCTTTTTTTTTCCTCTCAAATTATAGTGTCTTCTATGAAGACTGGTCTTTTATGATGGATGAAGAACGTTCCAGTATGATCCCTACAATGGCAGCTGGTAAAACTTTCTGTTAAATATTACTGTTCTTGGAAAACTATTGCCTTTTGGGATGTTATATCTATTTCTGGTTGTGAGGAGCTTCTCTGACACACTGCTTATGTGGAGAATGTGTGTCAGAGGCACAGTCAGGGTGAATTGTCAAGGTATTGTGCCAGTTTATGCTGTGAACTGATGGATTGTTAAAATCTGGATCTGGCCTTCCTACAGTTCAAAAGTCTTTCACATAAATGTTTTTACTCTTCAACAGTCAAGGCTAACTTAAAACTAGTGCAATTTGGAGAAAACAAAATGGGCTATTCCTGACTAGAAGAGGGTAATGATAGAATTTTGTAGTAAGATCCAAATTATGGGGAAATACAGGTAAGGAGAGTAGCAGTAAGGAGTGATAACAAATACTTTACTTTTCTAGTGTTTGACCACAGAAGTGATGTTTTACTTCCTCTTTTACCCCTTTTCTCAGATACGTGGTCACGTGCTTTGTTCTGCAAAACAAAGTACACAGAAGTTTTTGGTAATAGAATATAGGAATTAACAAATACTGAAGTTGCAGTGAAATGGGTTTAAATAAAAGGTTATAAATAAATGAGTTCACAGTACTTATTGCTTATTTAATGTGCAGCTGAACAGCCATCAAGATGAATTCAGAATTGATTGGATCAGCTTGAACATAATCTAAAAAAGAATGAATGGTACATGAAAGAATAAGAATTCATGCATGGAGAACTGTGGGAAATTTTGGGGAAAAATATTTTACATGTCATAGCTTTGTTAATCCTTAGGTTCTATGTTTTTAGCTTTCATGTGAAGTATGAAGTGTGAACTATAAAGTGCATTTTTGGTCTCTTTTTCCCCCTTTCCTTTATTTGAAGGTCTGAACTCCATCCTTTTTGCCATCAACATTGATAATAAGGATTTAAACGGGCAGAGCAAGTGCACACCCACCGTGTCTGATTTGTTAAAGGAATCCACACAAAATGTAACCTCACTGTTGAAGGAATCCACGCAGGGCGTGAGCAGCCTCCTGCGGGAGATCACTGCCTCCTCTGCTGTCTCCATTCTCATCAAACCTGACCCAGACACCGACCCCCTTCCTGTTCTGCCCCGGAATGTAAATGCTGGTAAGCTTTTAGGCAGTGTTGGTGTCATTCAGAAACTTCTCAAATATTGGAGTGTGTTTAAATAACCTTTTAATTTCAACTTAATGCAATATTATAGGACAAATCTTAAAAATAAGTGTGTGCTGCACATACAAACTAGTTGAGTGTGTAATAAAAAGTATGGAATTTTTTAGAAATGCTGGTGTGAATACTGGGTGGTATTTCATCTTTCTTGCATCACTGTGAGAGGGAGGCTGAAGTGTCTTATTGGTAGGGCTTTGCTTGTGACCTGAATTTCAGTTTCTTGTAAGATTAAACCTTGCAGTTCATGGTGTAATGATTTTTCATTTTTAGTTAATTTTCTTTTAGCACTTTTATCAGTCAGAAATACACTGCTATATATCCATTATTATATACCAGATACAAATCTAAGCTTGTAATCTTCTTCAAGTAGGGCCCCTGTTTACAGTCTGAGTTCCTATGCAAAATGAAATTCCTGAACCAAAATGAAATTTGCTCATATGCTTTTTTTAACCTTTAAATGTCTTAGTATTACAACCAGCTTGTAGGATGTCAGTTACTAACAAAGACTCAAAGTCTTAATCTCTTATAATTTGAAAAAAATCAAGCAAAATATGATTTTCATTATATGTTTTCAGTCCCAAAAAATTGCAAAGGAGTATTTTATTATCTTTGTTTCTGGAAATTGAGCTGAAAGATTGTTTTGCTTTGTAAAGGTACAAAACTGCAGGAAGATTTATGTGCTTATCAATTAAGAAACAAGGTTTGAATTTAGGCATTAAATTGTTTTGGTTATGAGAAAAAGGCAAAAACCCTACATGTGAAAACTGTCTGGTAGGAAGAGAAGTTGAGATAAAATCTGGTGTTTATTGGCATTTAAAATAGACTTTGTCTCAAAACATGGTTTTTGAAGCAAACTTGTGGTAAAGCTTTTGTTGTTTAGCACTTAAATGAGATTAAAATTGTAGGTGATACTTGACTTGGGATAACTTTGTTAGAATAGAATAGGCTTGCAAGATGAAGTAAGACAATAATTGACCATATGCTGCATATGACTCTACGACATAATGTACATTATGTGCAGAGTACATAAAATGTAGAGCTTACAGTAAAATGTCACTTTAAAAAAATGAGTCTCTTCAAATGCCATTATAATGTGGAATGTTAGAGCAAGTCAGATGTTTTCATTAGTCTGTGTTCTTTGTTGGAATTCTGTTTGCAAGCAGAATGGGTTTTAACATCCTCTTAAAAGTTTGTTTTGTGGATATAGAACAGCTGGATTTGAATTAAACCAAACAGTTTAGTCCCAGTGTGAGTTGTCTCAGTGAGTAGATTTCTGATATTTCTTAGCGTGCTTCAACTTCAGCTTCATGTGCACATAGGATTTAGTGAGAATAGGTAATAATTTAAAAACAGGTACTGTCACTGAATAGATCTGATGTAATCTGAGGATTTCAGTGTATTTCTAGACCAAGAGCTAATTACCTGAGGGAAGGAGCAAGTTTGGTTTCTTTTTCTGGGAACTGACTGCTCAATTTTTAAAGTATAGACAAAACTACCTTTATTTTATTGCAAGTTGTGGATTTTGTTCATGTTGTGAGTTTGTTCTTTTTATTTTTTTCTCTCTGGAAGTGTCTCATGTTTTCTCTGTTGGGTAGACATGCTCTGCAATGTACACTAGAATATACATTAGGTGTATTCCATGGGATAAAGTGACAGGAAGGCTAACTTTTTATTTTAAATTTCATTCTATGAGTTTGTTCAACTTTTTTTTTCCAGTTCTAATCAAATAATGTTATGAATGCACCTCCAAAATGTTTTCTAAAATCTGAATTATGTAAGGCAGATAAAATAAAGAGGGTAATTAAAGATTTAAAAGCTTGTGTGTATGGAAAGCTAGTGAATGCCTTGTAGATATAAGTGGCATTTTCTTTACTAAAGTCATTCAGTACATGGGCTCTTTTAAGGAAAAAACAGATTTATTATATTGTTTCTCTCTTCTAAACTATGTAAAACTTTGTATTGTTACTAGATTTGAGATATAAAAAAGATCGAAAAAAGAAGAAGAGAGTGACCAATATTATCTCATTTGACGAAGAGGAAGATGAGCAAAATTTGGGGGATTCCACAAAGACTCTGATTACAGGAGAAAGCTCAGAGGAGAGCGTAGACAGATCCTCAGTCCTTGCATTGTCCTCATCTGAAAGCACTCTTGGAAAAAATTTGAACGGGAATGAAAGTAACAGTTCGTGGAAGAGCAATTCATTGCCTCATTCTCTCATGAATGGAGAGTACGAGTACCAGAAACTGGATGTGAAGAGCATTGATGATGAAGATGCAGATGAGGATGAGCTGTATGGAAAAACATTAGGAAATAAAGGCACAGAAGGTGAAACTGAAGCTTCTGAAAAGTAAGTAACGGTGCAGGAGCTGGTGGGAAACTTTCCATGCTTCCCATCCACCCTTCCCTTTTCTTCATGGGCACTGGCAAATTGATGTGTTGAACTGAACCATAGGTTTTCTCTGCTTCCCCACCCCCATTCCTGCTCCTCAACCTTTTTCCCCTTTTTTTGTTTTTCCTTGTTTTTTCTTGATCATTGTTTAAACCATTTGGGCCACTGTGGTGGTGATATTTTGCTTCTAAGTTCCACTGAAAACCAAAATTTTGAGAATTAGTTCTCTCATTCTCCTTGAAGTTCTCAGTTGTTTAAATATTTGCATGATATAGCCTGGCTATAATTCTGGCCTACTTGATGTTTCCTTATTCTCATATGATATCAATTCTATTTTGGCTTCACAGTAAAAACATGTATTTTAAGCGGAATAAGCCTGTTACATCAGAGTAGATAGTTAAACAAGAGGAGATAGTTAACCAAGGCAAAACCAAGAGAGAATGAATAATGTTAAATACTAATATGCCTTCTTTATTTCTGACAAAGAAATTTGTTTGGAGAAAAAGGCAAGCACAGTTTGTCTCATCTGCTTTGGAATGTTTGATCTTTAATGGATTAATGTATGACCAGCCAAGAAACTGGCAGGCAGATTGAAGTAAAGATTTTTCTTGAAGTAGTATCTCTGGAAGAAATACATGCATTAGGAACATGGATATTGACTGTATAATAAGATTGTTTTGTTTGTTTGTTTGTTTTAAATCTAGGACTCATGAAATAGGCACTTGCAACTCTCAGATATGCAGTTGGACTCCTCTGCAGGTCCTCAATGATGACTCAGATGTGCTGTTCCCTGTCAGTGCTGTTGGCTCTTACTCCCAAACAGGTGGGTATTTAATTTGCAGGATTCCAACAACCTTTATAATGGAATTTCTAACATGGGACAATGGCAAGAAATAACAGGATTGTAAGGACATAGAACATACTGCACATCTGGGATAGAAAGGAATTAACATTCATTCTAGTTCTGAATCAGAGTTCTTCATTTGAGTAGTTATTTAGTTGAAGAGGATTTGTCAGTCAAAAAACCCCAGAGTTTTGTTGGGATTAAACTGTGGTCTTGTATGGTATTTTATTAAAACTTCAGGTATGCTCATTTTTTCAGTGACCATTTAAAAACTAATCAGTAGCATTAAATAACGTTTTCATTGTAAAATATTTAATTTTTTTGGATATACATTTTGTGCGCCAAGAGTTTACATGGATTGTTAATTGAAGGCCTGTGAAAAAGTGCAATTCAGTTCTGTAAGTTCAGTGATTTAAAATGTGAATCATAAAATAAGGCTGTACTGCCCTCTGCTGTATTTTAAAATGTGTACCTTATAAGAAATGGCAGTGGTTCAAAATAAAAATAGAAAGTAAGTACATTTTCATTTTTTATTTGTGCTGCCACATTTTTCAGTTTATGAAGGAATGGATTTAGAAAACATCACATAGTTTGTGGCATCATGTTCTTTTTAGTTTTATACAGAAACTGCTGGAGAACATCCACAGGTTGAAATCTGGGATACAATTGTCCGTGTTTATGGAGGGTGGTGGTGTGTGGAATGGGAACTCACAGTTGTTGTGGGAGTTGTTGATGTCATGAGGGATCAGGACTGTGAGCTGGAGTTTGTAGCTGAAATCAAAAGGCAGGAGTCTCAGCCAAGATGGAGACAGATGACCAAAGAGGACAATAGCTGTAACAGGGGCTTACTTTTATTGAGAAGATACCAGAGATCCTTGTTTGGTCTCGCTTCATCTCAGAACTGTTTTGGATACAATGCTCAGACTACTAGAGATGATCAACAGATCCCTTCTGGCACAGTACACAGACATTTTCAGTTCTCCTGTCTTTCTTTGTGATAACCTCTGTGGTCCATCCTGCAAACTGGAGTGATCCAACACTGGGCTGATGAAAGAGATCTTCATCACTTGTAGGAAACAGCAACCCAGGCCCTGCTTAATCTATACTGTTGTATGTTAATATCTGTGTTTTCAGTTTTAGTCTGTTGCAGTGCTTCAGGGATGTGTCAGGGCATATTATATGTCCATGTAACTAGGAATGAGAAAGCCTCAGTCAAAATTCAGTTGCTTGGAACAAAAATGGAGTGTTCATTTTAGGAACTGAGCTTCAGTAAACTCTATAACTTAAAAAATTTATTTTCTCCTCCATAGTCTTTCTGACATAACTAATTCCTATTAACTTTTTCCCTAGAATTCCTGCTTTTTAAATCTGTGCTATTTTAGTTGATGATTTTAGGACTGTCTTATAGTACCTTTGTAACCCTTACATAGTGAGATGCAGAAAACATCAATAAAATATGATTTTTGTTTCTTTCCCCATGAACTTCCTTAATGACAGGCCCAGTGATGTGTATATTTTGATCCCGACAGTAGTGGATCTGTGGACAGATGCGTATTATTCATGCTTTCTAGACAATGTCTCATCTGTCTGATTCCTGGTGTTTACTACATAGACATAAGGAGGCAGAGAAAAGCCATGGTGCTCTGTTGGGAATACATAAAGGACTGGTGTCTTTGCAAGGTTTCACGTGCTGGGGACTAACCACAAATTCTTCTGCAAGTCACAAACAGATTTGTAATGAGTAGCAGATGCATGTGGAGGTTGAAGTCCTGGGGCTTGCAAAAATAACATCAGTAAGAAGTCTCTTCATAGCTTTGCAACACTGTTAGTGTAAAATGTATATATAAAATGTAGGAATTGTGCAATACTGATTTTTTTGATGATGGCTGTGTTCCTAAGGGACTTTACAATCCTGCTGGCATTCGGGGTGAATGTGCAGAAACCAACTTTGGAGATACAATTTAAAGTGTTTCAATCTTTAGTAAAGATGAGTATTTCTATTTAAAAATGTAACTACCTTCCTTCTGGATTTGTTTATGTTTTATTTTCTTTAAAGTACTGTAAACTGAAGAAAGCTAATACTTGTGCATTCTACTTTAGATAACTTGGAGAACGGAGAGGGGCATGAACATGTTGTTCACCCGGTAGAACTGGTTCCCAGAAGATCTGATCTCCCTTACAGGTATGTGTCAAATATGTTTTTCTTAAAAAAAAACTTCACCCTGTAGCTGGCAACTTATTATTGTTACCTAATGCAATCAGCTCTGGAAAACCAACTACCCATCTGGGTACTTGTGCAAATGTTTGGAAAGACAATTGCAAAAAACCTTCCCTTTTTGCCTTATTTCATATACTGACCTTCTCCTAATTATCTGGAAGAATTCACATCATCATGTCAAATAACAGACAGACTTGGCCTCCTGGTTTTGAAAATAAGTTTTATTTTGGGTTTTATGTTATTTTTTTTTTTTTACTTTATTCTCCATGACCTGCTAATTTGGAGGTTTTTTGTGTGTATTCTTAAATCAGGCTCCCAGGAGATGCATTAAAGGATAGTTAAACCTAAGTTATTAAATATGGGTGAATAGCATGACAGTTCTAGTTTCTGGAATGTTTTTTTTCTTAAGATTCGAATTTAGGATTTTGTTTCCATTTATTGATTATTCTGTACTTTTATGACTAGAGTGGAAGTCAGTCCTCCAGCACAAGTGAATACTTTAAGCAGTATGTTGCCTTCAGCCACCGTGCCAGAATCCATGACAATTAGTAAGTACTTCCTTGATGTATCTAGATTGATGGAAATAACTTTGAAAGACCTATAATTTCTATTTTTATTTCAGTAGGATCTGTTTAGAGAGGCATAAAGCACTTCATTTCTGATGTGCTGGCCACATTAGAAAGAACTGCTCTAAAATGATGTTTGTATTGGCAGATCCCAGGTTAGGGTTCATTGCAACTGCTATATCCTTATAGTAGATGTGGCCTCAGTAGTTAAATGAAAAACAATGATTTAATTTGATTAACATCTTTAAATGTCAGCAAGCTCTGAAAATTATTTTTCTTGCTTTCATTTATGCTTAGTCAGAAAAAACCAAACACAGAATTCTTTCTATGTACACTCAGTCTGTGATTTTGATATGAAAATCTGTTCCAAACATAAATATGGGCTTTCATATGCAAAAGCTTTAGTTAAGATGAAGGTGGAGAACAGTCATATTTTCAGTAGTATTCAGAGTAGAACTAGACAAGATAAAGTAGCCTTTGTTGTAGAAATAGATTAATAGAAGCACAGGCAGATTGTTTACCCCATCATTAATCTATTTTCCTGTAGAACAAAGACTTAGTTCCTAAACTGACTGTCCAAACACGTGAGCCAGTATGTGTTGATGTTCCTCACAGTACAGAATGTTCTGTAACTGAACTGGCTTTGTTCCTAAAGCTCTTGGGTGCGTGTTTGTTTCTTCTTTTAAATTTAAATGTGTACAAGTTTTAAATTATGACATTTGGGAAGTTAGAAGTGATGCAGCCAAGATTCTTGACTGAAACTGAATCATGAAACCAACAAAATGGGGGAACCCTTAAAATATTCTAATCTCATTTTTTGAAGTCATGTTCAAGTGCTGTCTGTGTCAACCTGTGGTAAAGGAGGTAGACCATGCATTTTCACTGGGCAAGGTTCCAGGCTCTGGCATTGGTCTGCTGGCTGAGCTTTACAAAACTGAAAAATCCTTTCTTGCAAAGTCCTTCACGAAGTGGGAAACCAGTTTGAGACGTAACTGAAGGTGTAGATGGAGTTCCTGTTGCTAGTTACCACGCTACCTGGTCATTAGATGTTCTCTGCTGATGTTATTACTACGATATCCTTTTGTTCTTACATTTTTATTTTAGTTTTTGGGTTACAGCGTTTCAATGGGAATGTTTCTGGTGTTGCTGCCCTCTCTTGATTCTGTTGTTTTGTAGGTGTCAGGTACCAGCAGGGGCCGCAATTGGTCTCCTTCAGTTGCTCAGTTAGTTCCGAGGTGTAGGTAAGACAACTATAAAATAGAAAGAAAATCTTCAGATTTTCAGTTCTTGGTACTTGGCAATTTGTAAATGAAATGGAAACACGGGATCAACAGAAGCATGCACGCTGTCATTAGTTTCCCATTTCAGAGAAGGCTTTGGGGGAAGGAACTGGGGGAGGGAAGCATTTCAAAACCACCTACAAAGCTAGTAGGACATTTAGTAAATAATCGTAATTATAATCAAAATTCAGATGAATATGCATTTATAGTATTAGTCAATACCTTTATAATAGCTGATCCCAGATACACTCAATAAAAATGCTTTTTTCAAGTTTCTTGTTATTGGTCGTAGATTCTTTGTACAGGAAGAAGTCAGGGCTATGACAAAGTCAGACACTGAAGCTCTTTTTCTCTATTGCAATTAGCAGAAGAATTATTAAATGGTGAGGCTTATAGCTTGGTTGCATAGCAACTGATTCTAACACATCAGGCAAGAAAAATGGAATGCAGTAGTGCAGTGAGAAAAGCTGTGAGGTCTCCAGTGACTGGATTTTTGTGCTTCATACTTCTGGAGACAAAGCCTGAAATTAATTTTTTTAAATTTTATTCTTTTCCTGCTTCCTTCCCGACTTACTAGTATAGTACTAACCTTTTCTTGCTTCTTTTGATATGCAGGCTAGAAAATTATATTGTGAGAAGCTGTAATTTAAAATTTCTGCTATTTTGAATTATTTTCCTGAATTCATGTCTTGTGCATTTGTAAGGTATAGGTTAGCTCAGCAGCAGATACACCTCAAAAAATATTAATACCACTTAAGAGAAATCAAAATCCATAGAGTTACTTTTGCTGTGTATTTTAGACATCTTTTGAAAGCTTGCCCTACTTTACAGATCATTGTCTTAGAACCAATTTTATTAAGAATTAAGTTTTCAAGAAGTTTTATATATATGTATCTATTATGTACATTTCCAATTTTTAAAAAAATTATATTTATCATATTTGGATCACAAACGTCTCTGTCTGTTCCAAAGTGTTGCCATTGAAAGATTATATTTTCAGCATTGTTTTGGTGGAAAACAATCTGTCCTACCAGCACAGGTCTCCTCATTCTGTTTTTGCAGTGGAAAAAAAAGAAGTTCCAAAACTTTCATTTGAGAAGGATGCTGCTTGGGTCCTTCTTTACAGAGTTCTTTTATTATAGTGCTATTTTTAGTAAATAATTGGTAATTTAGTTTTTCTGCTCTCATTTTCTTCAGTTTTTAAAATTGGTGTTGACCACAAAGGTTAGCAAAGGTTGTAGCTTTGTACGTCATTCCATATTTTTTCATGTATTCTTGAGAAAGCCCCCATTTTTTCACAGTCACCAAAGAACTTTACTGAATAACCAAACCTCCGTGTTATATTGTTATGTGTAAGTCAATAGGGTGTACGTGTTTGTACTTTCTGTGTCCCCTAAACAGCTTCTGACCTGTTCTGTCACCTGGTTGCCACTGGTCACTGACAGGTACTAAATTCTCGTGACTTCTTTGAAAGCACAGCTGTGGAAAGAGGGTGTTTGCATTTCATTGGTGAGAGCAAAGCTGCAGTTCATCTTAGACTTATTTTTGATCAGGACCCTTCTGTGCAGTAGAAGGCCAGAACTGGATTGTCTAATTTGTTTCTTATTAATATTTGCCCTATGAATAGTGACATGACAGGATAATATTTACTAGATTCTTGAGCACTAAATAAAGTCTTAACAGCCAGTGTTCGTGCAGGCAGCTTAGGGAGCATAAAGCTCTTCATGTCTTTAAAGGTCAGACTTCTGATTTAGGATGTAACTAGTCTGCTGGAAGTTTTGTTTGTCTCTGAAAATATCTGTGTAAATTTGCACTCAGGAAAATAAATAAAAAAAAAATCATTCCTGGAGACTGCTCCCAGCCCACCCTGGTAGTTTGTGTGCAGGATTGCAGAGGAGTTCTGCATGACCTTGTGTTCTCTGAGAGATGATTTCACTTACAGCTCATTCTTCATAACAGGTGATTGCAAAACATACTTATCCACTTTTGGGCTAAACAACATAAGTTGTGAAACTTATGACTTTTCTGGAGGTTGCTGGAAAATTGACAGGTGTTTCTAAAAGCATAATGTATTTCATGCTCTGAAGGTGACCTTATAAAGAAAGACATAGTTTGGAATTACTGGTTTGCACATGGGAATCCTTTTTTCAAGAAGTTGTTGCAAAAATATCCCCTAAGGTTACATAATATGAAAGTCTTCACTGGTTTTCTTATATCTGTCTTTACAGAACTCTGATTATCACTTCATTTTTAGATATGTTAGTGTTGAAGGCTGATCCTTAATAGCAGTAGTGTATCACTTTTTGTTAATGGTACTTTAGAGAACATAAATGTCATGTCAAGCACAAGGCAATTGTGAAGTAGGACATAAAGTCTAACATCAAACACTTTCATGAAGTAAGAATACTTGGCTGTCCTCCTACTGTTTTATTAAAAAAAAAAAATAGAAGAGGGGGGAGAAAGATTGAAGTTGTGAAGTCCAGAAGTCAGAAAACGCCAAATTTATGGTTCCTGCTACAACCCTGACTTTTTTTTTTATTTAAATTTATTCCCTTTTCTGACCCACACAATGTATGAGACATAAGTCTGCTGGAAAAATTAGGTTATGATCATACACTCATCTCGGAGGCGAGCGTAACAGACAAAAGCTTGTGAACTGTGGGTGCTCTGGCAGGTTTGAAGTGAACCTGCCTCGATGGATGATACTGGATTTACTTTGTTTGCATTCAGCTGACTGGTCTGACATGCTGCTGAAATCTTTCCAGAAGCAGAAGTGAAAGTCATAAATTGCAATTTTTTGAAAGTTTTAAATGTTATACCTGAATTTAATAGGACGGTGCCCTTTTAGTTCTATTCAGTTCCTTGCATCAAAAGATCATGAAATTAAAGTTTGACTTTTTCTTGGTAACTTTTTATTTATTTAATTACACCAATACTGTTTTTCTCTTTTGTATTTATTGTGGATGGAGAGGCTAAAGAAGTGTTGATGATAAATTGTATAGTTCTTGTGTTTGTTTTGAGAAATTATAGAAAATATGACTCCTTAATACTCATCACTTCAAGAAGAAACAACATAAGTATCACCATGCTGCTTGGGTAGGCACAGGCTGTCCCAGCCTCCTGGGAACTCTGGTCTCTTAGCCAGACCAGTGGTTTGTGTTGAGCTTTCCTCCACATCTCCACTGGTATCTGTAATTGAACTAAATTAGCAAGGAATACTGAGTGTGAGGTGTGTTTTCTTTTGTGATCCTAAATTAAGCATTGATGTTTTTCCTGTATGTGATAATGAAATTTGGAGTTTCTGCTTGGTTGTGTCTCTATAGTGTTGTCAATTCCGTAACTCTCAGAAAAATGAGGCAAATGGAAATAGAAAAGTATTTTAACATCCTCTATTTCAAGAATCTTTTTTCTTCTTTTTTTTTCAAACCATGGCCTTTAACAGAATCTTGCTTTTGTGCTCTGCTTTTGTGTGTGTGGGAGAGGGGACTGTGAGAAGGTGGGATTTCAGGTCTCCGCTCATGCGGAAGATTCTGGATGGAATAAGGAAAAGAAGATTAAGTTATTAGGCAAGCTAAGGTTACAGTTTAAATAGGCTGGTAAAATTGACAAAATGGAGACAATTTATAATAGTTTCACAGTTTAAATGTTAATAAATGAGTCCGCATTAAACCCCTGAGTATGCACACAGGCAATTATTGCAGAGTAGGCACCCCAGAGTAAGTGCAGAACCAGCACTGCAATAACTTGTCTGAGTAGCAACAGCTTTAATGTATTCAGTTAGAGACATAATAGCAACTAACTGTTGATTGTGCATTATCATATTTTAATGACACATTTGAAATATTTAAAATACCATTGGCGTGATGCTTTCTTGAGGAGGATTCTGAATTCAGCATTGTAGTTCAGGATCTTTATTTTGTTGCAGTGTTACTGTACTAAAAGGTCTCAGTGGATCCTTTTGCTTGTGTTATACATTTATATAACACTTCCTGGATTGTTCTGTTTTCTTCATCCTTAGAGCAGTTGTTTTTTTTCACAGATAGGCTGATGGATTGTGGTCCATTTTGACATTTTGGCAACATTGCATATTACATTTTCAGGACTGTTACAACCCACCAATTGTCCCCTGCCAAAAATTCCCACCAACAAACCACAAAAAACCCCAAACAAAACCCTCTCAAAATCCCCAACCTTTCCAGTCTGCCCTCAAAGTGGCAGTGTCTCATCATGACTAAAATAATACTAATAAGTGTATTGAGTTTCATTATCACCAAGTTTGATATTTTGTAGCTAAATACAATAGTTAAATCTCAGAGTGTAGGGTTTGGTGTTTTGGTTTTTTTTTTAAATTTTGTTCCCCCACCTGACCCCTCCCAACCACCCCAAAATTAGTGGTAGTCAATCAAAGCTATTACAGACCATCTTTTGAAAAATAGTGATGAAAATAAAGGAGCACAACGTATTTTGTCATATATAATCTTTCAATTCTAAGTTTTTCTACAGTTCCTGTGTAAATTACAGTGGTTACCTGGACACTTCGTTGCCGTGTGAACTTTACTCTTGCCAGAAAGGATATTCCACCTTTTACTCCCCATTATTATTAACTAGGAAGGTGTTCTGCCTTTACTGCATTCTATTGTGTGCCTTGTGCTAGCAACAGCATTAAACTCAACAGTAAGGTCACTTGGCCACTGCTTGTGTGAAAAGAAAAAGAAATATACCCCCAATTTTGAGCTGGGTCAGGTCCTGCCAGGACAGTGTGCGTAGAAACACCAGTGCCACAGCAAGGGAGGTGGTGGCAATGATGGAAAAGGCAACTGGAATGTCCTTTTTGCTGAAAGCACAGCCTTAGGAGGACTGGTTAAAGTACCCATGTAATTGCAGCTTTGGTTTTGAATATGAGAAAGCAAAAGTTTCCAGATTTTTTTTAATGTATGCTTGTATTTAATATCCACAAATTACACTTTTGGCTTTTCTGCAAGATTTGGATTTGTTTTCTTTTTTTTTTTCTGTAAAAAATAATTATTCTTTCTATGCTGAATTAATGAACTACAAAATCCCCCTAATGACCTACTGAAATGTTTCTTGCTAATGTCAGTTAGTTCTTAAGCTGTAATATGGATAGTATGAAATGAGTAGCAAAATAATCATCTACTTTCTTCATGGTCAAAGAAGCAGAAATGTTTTGGAAAAAATCTAGCATGGAGAAATTTGGGTTGGCTGATTTCAGATGATAGGAGAACCCTACTGAATCCTGCAGTCCTTCAAAGGTGGGATTGACCTGGAGGTTACCAGTGCCAGCCTGGAACTGTGGTGTCTGCAGCACTGACTGATACATTGGATTGACATGAATCCTTCATGTTTTGGCCACTCCTAGATTTAGCAGATTTCATCTGGTCCACAGGACAATGTTAAGTTTTTCTTGAATGGGCAAAAATTTCTGTAACTGTAGAAAATACTAAGAAAGAGATGGGTAAATTAGTGAACTGAATGTAAAGGGCAAAAAGTTCTCCACTGGCTTTGCTTACTGGAAGAAAACAAGTAGTACCAGTTCTATTGGTATGTTTTCAGTAAAAGCACACAAAATTTGTTGACAAATTTGTTGAATACTTGCAAAACAGAGCTGGTTGATTTATTGTATATAAACATGAGAGCATTTCATTTAACTCTTGGGAGGGATGTTTTAATATAATTGTGTCCTTGTAGCACTCATAAAATTATTGATTAATATATGTGAAATTGTTAGTGCAATTGTTAAAAAAAAATCTGGTTTAGGATGATACGTATCCATCCTGATGATTGCTAGAAGCCACTGAAATCTCTGAAGACCTCTTTTATTTCATATATTCATGCAAAATCTGGAAGTCAAAATCTGTAACTTTAGATTAGATGATAAGGTCCTAATATTTTTCTGTAAATTTATAGTAAGTAGTCTTGGTGCATCTGTACAGTTATATGGTAAAACCTTTACTAAAACCTCAGCAGAAGGACTCCAGGTGAGGCAGTGCTTTGAGCTGACACTTTTCTGTATGATATTTGGCTTTTCTGGTATCATGTTAAAACCTAAAGAAATCTTTAAAAATTCTAAAATTCTGTCAGTTGGGTTTTTTAAAATTTTTATTCTTGATTTAATGACAGAAAGTATTTTTAAGGTATTTTTAAAAAACAGAAAGTTTTTTATAGGAAATTACAAGATTCAGAAATCCCGTATTTAAGAGTGAGCTTGAGAAGAAATGCCATGAAAAAGCAGTGACATTGTCTCTATTCCCACCTCCCTGTAATGGTAATATTTCCTGTGCCAGAATTTGTAGGAAGGAAAAGAAGCAATTTGAAGGAGCTGAACGAGTACCAGTGTATGTCATTAATATGCACAGAGTGAAAAGGTGCATTCTGCAATACAGCTGTGATTAAAACAAACCAGCTGCACCCAGGGCACACTTGTAAACATTGGTATTAAAGCCAGATGCAGACTCATTTGGTTTGATCAATTCTTCTGATACGGTGTTAAATTACCCCGGTTTTGAAAGATTGCTCAAATTAGTGATGAGATTGAGAGCGTTTTTATGAGCTTTGCTGAATAGCAAATGGTGTTGGCAACATTTGGAGTGTGTTGCCTGTGTACATGACTTCTAGATCTGAACTGAGCAAAGTGCACACAGACATTGAATCCTTTTTCTCCCTTCTCTTTAGATGAACTTCGTCAAGCTATCGTGGCCATGATGAATAGGAAGGATGAACTGGAAGAGCAGAATAGGTAGTTTTCTTTTTTAAGTCAAGAGGGACTGTAATTAAAAAAAAAAATCTTTTCTTTAATACAAGCTGTCCTTTATGTGAAGCTTTACATAATTTTTGTGTAATCTTTTTGATGTATGTGTTATTTTTCTGCGAAAGGTAAACTTAATACTTCACTATTTAAATGTCGATACTGAAAGTAATGTTTTCAGGTCAGCTTCTTCCTTTGAGTTAGTTTAGTTTAATCACAGATAAATCTTTGTATTTTGGCAGCTTTTGCAGTTGCAGTTTTTTAAAAACCAAAACTTACAGCCAAAAAATTCTGAAGATTTCTTAAGACAGCTTTTCAAATGAGCAAAAGTTTGTCCTTTTACAAATATTCCGAAAATGTCTTTTTTTCTCCTTCTGGTTTAGAACTGATGTAGGATGGCTGACAATGTAATGCTGAAAGTGGCTTTCATTTGTGAGGGTCTTTATGTTCACTTGGGGCAAAATGATGAGGTAAATGTAAAAATGATCGATCTCTTATTTAAAATGCCATCGAACCTACTTTGTATTTATTTAGTTTATTGAAACACATAATTAGATGAATGAAAGTACAAATGTATTCAATGTTTGGTAATTTACATTTTCCTATAGATGTTTTGGGACTTTTTAATGCCAAGACTACCAACTGATTCTATTTTCCTGCCTCCTCTTCTTCCTACTCCCATAATTGCAAGTTATTGCCCCGTTCAGCTTTGTGTTTTTTGGCAGAATGCTTTGGGTTTTTCCATTATGCATCGTGCTGACCTTTGCTATCTCATCAAAGGCTTTACACAGAGATC